GGCAGAAAGACAATAAATTTGACTTTAAATCTATGGAAGTTGCCCACCCTAATGCAATCTCTTCAGTTTCTTTATTGTTGTGTTTATCTTGGCTTATTCTGCTTGTTCAAATACTTAAAAGGTTCTTATTATACAGATTTCTACATCAGCTAGTATCAAGCAATTTCAGGGCGGTATGATCATACACCTCTTCCTTCTAGTGGAACATAAAATACAATTCTGTGGATGTCTACTCAGAATTAGGTCTCATTGATTCCTGCAAGGCATACTCCCCTGTATAGAAAGACAAAGTCTCAGCATTGCGTCAAAATACAGCCACTAGCCATTTATTTAAGGCTTGACATATCCATCATATGGTCACTAACACTGAACCGTGATGATAACCACCAAAAGCTTGAATATATTAAACAAGACAAGGAACTCAGCAGAAAGACAATACTGTTATTCGTATTTCCTTTCTTGACATACAAAAATATTAATTCAGCCAGGAGGTACTATCGATGTATCACATTACATGTTGCTTACCAGTGAGAACACTCTGAATAAGATCTTCTGTTTTTGCTGGCACTTTCACAGAACCTAGAAGTAAACAACATAAATAGGATCAGTTGTTTTGGAGCAAAAATACACCATCTTGAACTAGAGGCCCAGTGGTTTTGTTTTTCAGGTGAGAAATCATCATCTAAATGATCTCACCAACTATTTTTGTTTAATGCAGGCTGTAAATCTTGTTATTAAAAGACACTGAAATTCACTGGATTGAATAAAGAGAGGCTTCAAGGGCAACCTGTGGCCTTCCAGCTGTTATTTGCCTGCAATGGCTACTCTCACTCATCCCGGGATAAGCTGGGTAGGATGGAGGGAAGCTAACACCCATTCTCCACCCCAGAGTGAAGACATGTCTCAACATCAATTTCTGTTCTACATGCTGCCGTTGATATACTGATAAAGCATGCCATGCTGCTCCCTAACATTTTTCAACATCCTCCTGTGCTTTCAGGGAACAAAAACCTCCTACAAGTTCAGGTGATTGGCTGACACTTATAACTTCCTTGGGAACCTCATTATTACTATAAAGATTTTCTATCTTTTCTGTCTGTGAGTGTGTGGTGATTACATCAGTCTTAATATAATCAATCAAATCTAAACCAATTAAACAAGACGTATGGATCTGATTTGAAACAGCTATTTTAAATTTACCAGCCCATCCTTGATAATTTATATGTACTTCAGCCACTTCTGTCCCAATTCCTTTAACTGAAATGTTCTCATTTGGAATGATATCTTCCTGCTGAATAATATCTGCATGGCATATAGTTATCTGAGAACAAGAGTCTCTCAAAGCTAGATACTTGATGTTGTTAATATAAATATTTTCTTCAGCTGACTTTATCAATTCTCTGTTGGTTTTAATGTAATAGCAGCAAATAATATCTGCTACAGGAGGCGCTTACTCCTGAGTCAGCCTTCTGTCAGTTAAACTGCCATTCTGGTTTATCTCAGACCTTTCATCCTGCTTTTGTATACAGTACATCTTTTTAGGTACAACTTCCCCTGTTTTCTGTTGTCCCATTTCCTTGTTTTTAATAAATTCACAATTTGAAATAAAATGATTTGGTTTTCCACAACCAAAACAAGTTTTTAAATTTCTTTATTCATTATAAGTGGTTCTGTCTCCCTTTCTTTCAAAGCCTTTACCCTGTTCTGAGAGTCTCTCTCTAAAATGGCTTCCATCTGTATATCGGTTGGTTTTGTGGAAATCTCTAGGTTCTCTTTTTCTTTCTTCAAAGTTTCTGTCCAATTTTACTTCAGAATATTTTGAATTTCTAATCTCTGATATTAAATCTGCAGATTCACTATCCTGTAGTACTATTCTAGGTTGTTTGTCTCTTAATATCTTAATTCAGCAGGCAAAGCTGAATAAAATTGTTCTAATCCTATGAGGTGCTGCATGTCCTCCAAAGTTGCCACATGAGATTGCTCCATCCATTTCTGTAAATATTTAACCAGGTTTGCCCCAAATTGTGAATATGACTCATCAGGTTTCTTACTTAACTGTCTAAATTTAAGTCTGAGTTTTTCACTGGTTATTTCAAATCTTGAGAAAACTAATTTCTTAGAGATCTCATAATTTCTAGCTTGGTCTTCTGACACACTACCATAAATTTCGGACATTTCAGCACTAATTAAAGACCTTAATATCAGCATATGTTCCTGTTCTGTCACACTATAGTCCCAGCAGGCTCTCTCAAACGAAATTAGAAAAGATTCAGGGCAATCTCCTTTTTTAAATTTTGAGGGAATTTCTTAAGGTCTACTTTTGAGATCCCTTCATTTGTATTATTACTGTTATTACTGTTTAGAGATGCCATTTCCAGTTTTTTCATCTCTAATTGATGTTACATTTCTTTTTCCTCATTTCCAGTTCCAGCTGCAATCTTCTTAACTGAAATTCCTGTTCTTTTTCATATTTCCACTTTATAAACTCTATGGAGTTTTCTGTCCCTGAGGCACCCTCCTGTTCCTTTGAGCCCTCATAATCCTGGCCCTCTTGTTCTGAAATTCCCCCTTCCTGAGGTAATATCTGTCTCTCATCAAGTTCCACAACTGTCTTCTTTCCTCTCCTGGAAGTTATACTTAACAGTTTATATTTATTATTAAATTGGTAGGCTGTTTTCTCACCAATTCCAATGTACAAACCCCAATTTAAAAAGACCTCTTTTTTCCTGTGTTAGAGATTTAAACTATGTAGCTTTCTTTTGGCAGCTTAAGATTGCTACGTTGTATCTTTGGACTTCAGCCTCGCTGTTCCTTGTGTCTGTTACTTTGTATCTCTTGGTCTACAGACACCCAGCTATTTCAAGCAATATTTTTATTTTGTAAGCCTCAGTTATCTTCACCTCAGCTGTTCCTTTTAGACCTTGGCTTCCATGCCTAGGTTCCCTCAGTGCTCTCTTTCTCAGAGCTTTGGAATCTAAAGCTAGCCCTCTTGGTCCTCACACTCTCAGCTTGAGGTAAACTTTTAACCACAGAAATCTCCTCAGAGTCCTTTTCCTACCTTTGTCTTTCCACACTTTCAGGAGTCCCTATCAAGCTATTCACCTTAAGCTTTAGGGTCTCCTACTCCTTTACTTGGACTATTGACAACCAGGTCTCTTAGACTCAGAGGCTTTCTTTTTCATTCATGGCCAACCTAGTAAATTTCACTTTATTATGGCTCACTAGATTTCATTCGAATCCCAAACTAATAAATCACTCTTTATTTTGGCTCACTGGATTTCTTTCAAATCCCACCCGCTGCTTACCACTTTATGTCTCTTTCACCAACTTCCCAAACAGGGCACAAGACATTTCTGCTCAGCAGAAATGCTTCCCGTTAGTAGCTAATCTATATGGTGATAATCTCTTGGTAGCTGCCAGTGACTTAGCTAGTCCCCTCCTGTTTTTGCTACCATGGCATCTTCCACATACCCTCACCTTCCCCTCTTTTGCCCCCCCCCCAAATTTAGTTGAATTAATATCTAAGTAAATGTACTCATCAAAACTAAATCGTATATCACAGTGGAGACTACAGTCAAGAAATCAGATGAATAAAATCTGGAAAGGCAACTGTGTAGGAACTAGAAAAGATCCTTAAGCATAAGGACATGTTGCTGGAGACCAAAGCCAATATTATTTACACTTGTGTGTTCCTGATTGCTAAGTATAGGTTTGAAAGTTGGACAATGCAGAAAGCTGACTTGGGGGGGGGTCATTTATAGTTTAGTACTGGAGAAGAGCTTTACTGACATCACAGATGACCAGAAGAAGTAGGGTCTAGAATCAAATCAAGTATGAACTCTAACTAGATGCTACAATGGCTAAGTTGTGGCTATTATTCTTTGGACATATTATGTGAAAACAAGACTCAGTGGAACAGAAAATAATGTTGGGAAAAGTGGAAGACCAAGGCCTTCAATTTGCCTGAGAAGGGCTGTTAAGAATAGGATCTTCTAAAGTGGAACAAGGTATATTTTCCTGCTTCTCTGCTGAGTTGTCAGAGAGTAAATGAAGTAGGGTGAGGCAATGTTTCAGTGAATGCCTGTCTGCCTCTGTAAGTTTCTGTGAATGCTTAAATGCTTGCCTGCCTGCCTGTGTGAATGTGTCTGCATGAATACCCACTTTTGCCCTACTTCTGCTTTGCCTTTCAGCCCCACTCCAAAGCACATTAGCTGCCACTGCTTGCAACCCAGTTAGTAATAGTCAACAAACCCCAGTCTTCAACTGGCACAGGTAGTAAGGATTCACCAGGCCATACACCATTTGCAACAGCTCTGCTAGACGAGAGAACTTAAAAACAACAACTGTAATAGACTTTCAGAGAGATCCTAATGCAGATACAGTGGTGCCTCGACTTGTGACTGTAATCCATTCCAGAAGATGGTCATAACTCAAAACAGTCGTAAGTCAAAGCACCATTTCCCATAGGAATGCATTGAAACCCCATTAATCCGTTCGGGCTGGAAAAAAAAATATAAAAATAAAACACTGCAAGCTGGGGCTGAAAAATAAACACACCAAAACCAAACAAACAAATAAACAAACAAAAAATCACAGCCAGCCCCAGTGGAATGCCATGGGGCTGGGGGGGGGCACACAACCTCCCTCCCCACAGCCAGCCCGAATGCAATGGGGCTGGGGGGAAATCACACCAAAACACAAAAAACATCACAGCATAGAAACATAACCCCCCCATACCAAACCCACCCTGCAAAACAAAGTACATTTACTTACTCCGGAACAGAAAGCAGCCCCAAGCAGTCAGAAGCCTCCTCCGATTGCACTCACTATAACCGTTGGGGCAAAAGAACTACAAGAAGCAGCCTCTTCACCAACCAACAGTTAGCAAATTTGAATTTCCTGCCTTTTTTCCTTGCCTTTTTCTGTCACAACTCGAAGCTCCGGCCGCAAGTCGAAGCAAAAACTTGCGTTTGGAGCTGGTCGCAACTCAAAATGGTCATAAGTTGGAATGTTTGTAAGTTGAGGCATCACTGTGTATCCAAGTGATTTGTACACCATAGACAAGACAACCACTGTAACTTCTATTTGACCTTATAATCTGGGAAAATAATATAGGCAAAAATCCTATTGCATAATTAGTCATGAGGAAGGCAAACAGCATAACCTACAGCAGCTTCCCATTAGCAATATATGAGTCCATGCTTGGATTTTCAGTCATACACTAACCCACCAGTTTGGTATTGACCAGAAAATCCAAGCAGTGATTCATCCACTAGCGGTGAGAAGCCCTTGCATGTTATACCATTTGTCTTCTGCAGGCATAACTACATAATAGGATTTTGGTAGAGAGAAGTTTATTCAGTTGCACCTCACCCATCCATGCAATACAATGACATTATACAATCCAGTTCTTACCCGGCGTTGGTTGGCTGGGAGCAACCTGAGCAGATGGCTTTGGGGTAAGGGAAGTAGTGTGGTTTACTCCATTTTCAGCTGGTGCAGGCTTAGGTTCATTGTGAGCTTCTGAAGGTACATCTCCCTGCTCTGCCTAACAACACAAAAACACTTCCCATAAATATGAAAAAAAATTGCTGTCCATGATTAGGCAGAGATGGGGAAATGGATAGAAAAGAATTAACTGGTAATGGTTAGTGAGTAGTTCCTGAATTCACTAACAGTTAAGAAAGCTATTCTCTTTTCTGCTGGTTTGCCCAACTCTGTGATTAGGGCATCAAATGAAGCACTTATACATGGGTTCAGTTGCTGTCTATATAACAGCTCTTCAATCCCAATAGGTTGAATACAATAATATATTCACATTTTAAGTTTGTCAAAACATATTATATTCATATAGTATCTGGCAGAAAATAAGCCCAATTTCAGCTTCAGAAAGCACCTTCAAAACAAAATATCCCTAATCCCCATTATTATTTAATAATAATAATAATAATAATAATAATAATAATAATAATAATAATAATAATAATAATAATAATAATAATAATAATAATAATAGTTTGCAGGGGGTGGGGAACATCCAGTCACACAAAAACAAAAAAGTAGGATTAATAAGAAAAGGTAATACAGCATTCTTTTTTCAGTGTTTAAAAAGAGACTGTCTAGTCTCCCATAGAGATACATGCACCTGCATAAACACATTTCAAAAAGTGTGTATAAATTATGTTTGTAAATAACATAAAATCTGGTTTTGTCTGTCCACAATCCTATAGTTGGTGGGCTGCTACAATAAAGCATTAGATGGGTCTTTTGTTTCTAGACCATTCTTTACCTTCTTCATGGTCCTGGTCTATATCCTTCAGCAGAGGACAAAGTTTATGCCATCAAACAAGAACAAGCAATATGACTTTGGGATATCAATGCACTACTGAATTAGAACACAGTAACAATGCAGATCCAAACATAACAGCAGAATACACCAGTCACCAACGAAAAAGAACATGCTATAGAATTACTGTTTTCTTTGTCTGTTTTTTCTTTCTTTTCAGGTTAATGTCCCAGCAGTCTAATTACTCATTCACCCCCAAGGCACAGGAAACACTCCCAGGACAACTCACCCATAATTATATTCAACAGATAAGCTTACGCAAACAGTACCTCCATCCTTGCCGCATGCTTGGTGAACGTGTCTGTAACGCTCAACCTGTTTAAGCATTCCCTACAACATTTCCTTCCTTGTCAGCTGCCAATGCCCATGTTTAGAACTCAGGCTCCTTTTTTGTTGTTGTTGTTGTTTTTTACTACATACTAATCATCTTAAATTGTATTATTAGTGGTCACATTTGTCTGAGTACATTGAAGATTTCTGCTACACTAATGGAATGAGGAGGAAGGCATTCAGTCTTTCAGCATTGTGAGGCACTTTGTCTCCTTGAGACATGAACATTTATATTAGAAGGACCTGTTGCCATGGTACCTTGCTGGATTAGTCTCCCAGGCTGTGTTCATTTTCATTCTTCATTTGTAATAAACTGATGGCAGTGGAGGGGAGGCAGCTCTCTAAACACTTCACTTTTTCACAAGAGTTTATAGCTACAGGAACTGAGGATGGAGGACATAAAAGATAAGGCTTGAAGAAATTATGCTGAACACTCCCTTTGCGAAAGGATTCTCGATGCATCAGTTCAACGCTTCAAAAGTCACAGGTTCTGGACACTGTAACTTTTTCGTTTCCCATATGTACCAAGTCAAAAGAAGGTGATCACTTGCTTCTTTGCTCACTAGACAACCTGCTTTCAATCTAGAAGATTTAAATGTGACATCTAACAGATCAAAAACCATCCATCAATCTGTCTTTCTGTACTGGGTCTCATTTGTGAGGTGCAAACACCCCTGTAATCAGATTTCTTATCATGCTGTGGTATGGCTACTCTCTGTTGATCACACAGTACATAATAAGGTTTGTATTGCTGAGGTAACAGCTTATCTACTAGTGTGGTAATGTAAAGGTGATAACAGCTCCGTCCATCAGGTAGACTCTTCTCACATGCCCTAGCTCACTATGGTTGCAAAACTGGGCACATGACTTGATATGCACCCAACTGCGCAAGCCCACAGCAGGCAAAAAAAAAAAAGTTCTATGAATGTCCTTCTGCATTTTCTCCAGCCAAATTTTCCACTTCCTTATTTTCTTTCCAAAGAAATGCTATGCAACAGACATAACATTGAATGGTCCTCTGACTAGGATTAGTGGAAGGGGCAGGAGACGGATCCACTGGTGACAATAGGTAGCATGTATCTGTTTTATTATTTTAAGGAAGCCACCTGGGATAATTTATTGAATAGAAAGGTGGAAGAGGAATAAAATAAATAAATGCTGCTACCCCTCTTTAGGGTATTATTACGTAGCTGGTGGTGAAATGTAATCACGTTGAGGGCTAATTAAGCACAGAAGCCATTTTGCCTGGAAGTGAAATGCAGTTTCCTCAAGTGGGGGGAGAGAAGATGCTTACAGATGCATTCCTCCCCTGATGCGGAGGTGCAGCTGCTTCAGAGCTGGAGCCAATTGTTTGTCGAGGGATCCCTTGCCTGGCACTGAAAGACAACTGCATCTGGAATCTTGTGGCAAATTCATCATGGCTTCTAGGAGACAACAGCATGCATAAAATCTGGAGGGACATTGGTCTGGGATGCAAAACCTGAGTGTAGGCCCGGCTTTCGGATTGTTTAACTCCCAGTGTATCACCACAACTAAAACTTCTTTGAGCCTTTTTTTAAAGTGAGGATGCCAAATAAAACACTCTGCAATCTGATGGGTCATTGCTCTCCATTCCAGTGTTGGGTCTGTTGTATATTCATGTAGGAATGCTTGTTTGTTTTGGCAGCTGTAACACTTGCAAAGACAGATGCATAACGACACAAACTAGTCAGAAAACCTCTGCAATCCTGGCCAAGGAAAAACACTCTTTCTCCAGCAATTGGAGATTTTTTTAAATGACATTACGTTGTTTCATTTATGAGTAATGTAATATTATCTAAGCAGATTGGAAAAGCGATGCAGGTGGCCCTGCATTTATGTTACATTGTCATATATGTAAACTATATTTCATGTTTAAAATTTCTCTTGCCTTCAGTCTGACCAAGTTGCTTTAATCATGCTGGCTGAAAGGCCCTGAAAATCTTGGAAGTTACTATCAAATATCAAAGTTGCTAAGTTGATTACAGAAAAAATATACACACTGCACAATTGATGACCATTTGTTATCAGCTTAGCTGTTACAGTGACTGTTGTTTGGACCGCAACAACAGTCTAGGAGAATTCTGGGTACTGCAGTCTCGAGGCAGGAAGGCAGATCCCTAATTCAGAATTCTCTGTTAGTTACCTCTTGTACGTATTGTATACTCCCCTGAGTTATAGCAGAGGATCCCAAGTACCTCACCAAACTAAAAATCCTAGGATTCTTAAGATGGAACCATGGAAGTAAAAGTGCTATCAAAATGTTCTAAGTGTGTAGTACAGATTACCTCTATTAAGAAGGAGACAGTTACTGGATGGGAACCTGAAACTTTTTGGAGGAAATTAACGAAACTAAATTAAGACTATTGGGAAAGATGCTTCTCAGAACATTCGAACGGTGTTTTAATTTACAATGCTTTGGTGAATGTGTGGGGTATGTTTCTTGCCCATGAAGCTAGCCATTTTTCTCCGAAGCTGACAACTTCCTGCATGCTCATGGATATCATTTTGATATGTAATGTGAACTTTTTCTTTGTATAATATATCTGCATTTTATGTTGACAACCTTGCATTTTGCACAAAACTCATTCTAGGGGGGTTGGTTGGTTCAAAATACAACTTTTTCATAACAAAAAAAAGGGTAACATTTTACCTGTGCAAAGTGAAACAAACCCACAATTCTGTACTAATGCTACTGCCGAGGAAAGAAGTGGTTGTCTTTTTGCTCTCATGCAGGAGCAATGAGTCTTCCAGAAGGTAGTCTTGTAGTAATTGATGGGATGTCTTTACGGGAGAATTAGAAAATTTGATACTACTGTATTTGTTACATCATTATCTTCAGCCAGCTTTCTTCTCCATTCCTTGAAGGGCTTGTGCTGTTTGGAATGACATCAAATGCGTCCCCTTGTTATTGCACTAAATTTCATCAAGTGCAGACTCTCACCTCTTTCTTTACTTCTTCTTCGTCCTCCAGAGTCAGTGCTGCCAGCTGTTTTGCTCTTTGCTCCATCAAGTTCACATATCTGATTGGGTTGGATAACGCTTCAATGACATCTGGAAACGAGACAGGAATTCAAGACCAAACTTTGATTTGTTTTCTAAGTTTCTACTCTTTTTGTTTTACAAATATTGAACTAAGGCCGTTTCTGAATTTCCTTGGTCATTATCACTAATAGGAACCCTATGCTGGTTAGAATTGCCAAGCTTCCATTTGATCACCCATATTGACTGATATTCAGGTTTACTTAAGATATCACTTATTTCAGTGAGACCTCCTCCTCTGGGGTCTGTGGTATGAAGTCTGAATTCACAAGATCAAGATTTAGACCAAGATCTGTCTGTCCAGCCCCATGCCAACCTATTATTGTCAAGGTAAGGATGGACTCATGTGGGTCATGAGGAACCCTCTAAGGCCGCTATTATGGGGCCACCTCTCCCAAACTCTCTGCCAGAAAATTAAGTCCAAATCATGCAGTTGCATCCTAGCAGCAAACTGCTAGAATTCCAAATCACAGAAAACATGTGTTTTAAATAGCTTTCAGGTCTTGCTGCAAAGTCATCAACAAAATGGGGAGAGGACCCTATAAATTAAGCATTTCCTATTTATCTGGAGGACTTCAGGAGTTTTGTTCCTTAAACTCAGCAGCACTATTTGACCCTGGGATCTGCCAAAGTTGCCCACTCCTGCACAATGTGCTTTCCCATTCTGGAGATGTTTCCAACTATCTTGAGTATTGTTATCAAATTAACTAATATGGCCATCATCTAAAAGGGGGTGACAGAGCTATACCAGCATTAATAAATAAAGGAGCACAGTGGAGAATCCATGACAATCGCAGGAGTGACTGCACATTACACTGATGAATGGACAACAAGTGGCTTACAACATTTCTTACTGCCATAGCTTTGTCATGGCAGTTGGAGGTTAATGTTGTTTCTTACTACTGCCAACTGTGTAAATACCCTGTTTCCCTGAAAATAAGACCTAACGTGAAACTAAGCCCTAGTATGATTTTTCAGGATGCTCGTAATATAAGCCCTACCCCCAAAATAAGCCCCAGTTCAGTGAAACCCAGACCTCCACCATTGTGCAGCATTTTGCAGCAACCAGAAGATGGCATGACTGTATTTGAATACATGTAGACTGTTGTATATGAGAAAAAGAAAAAATGCCCTGAAAATAAGCCCTAATGTGTTTTTGGAGCAACAATTAATATACAGTAAGACCCTGTCTTGTTTTAAGAGAAACATGGGACTGTACAATTCCCGAGCACACACTGCTGTACAAAATGCTTCAGAGGTTCAACTCACAGATGTTACCGTTACCTGCATAAGTATCGGGTACATAGTCTTTAACTTCTATGTATACAAATAAGGCTGGCAGTGTCAAGGGCTGGTTCCTTTCATTCCGTAGGCAAATATAGTGATAGCCTGTGAAAGAAAACAAAAGATAGCATCTACATTAATTTTTTTTCGGCTGACATGTCCAGTGGAATAGGTAAAGGCATGGATCAGAAAATACTGATAACTGGCTTGTATGTGCAGAGAAGGTGAAACCCATTCCATGGAAATCTAACTCCCTATAAAGAACCAATAGGATACCCGGTATAGTGTAGTGGATAAAATGACAGAGTAGGAATCTGGAGACCAGGGTTCAAATCCCCACTCAACCATGGAAACGCACTGGGGAACAGTTAAAGCCACTCCTCAAATATCTCATTTACATTGAAAGCCCCATTAGGGTTGGTATAATTCAGTCCTGACTGGACAGCTCATAACTAACAAAAGCACAATCAAATAACTTCCTCGATAATGGGGAGGAAAGCTAATGCACCATCACTTTTTTTAAAGATCAGAAGCTAGCAAAATCTGGCCTATGGGCCATACACAGCCCCTAATGAGGTGTTTTTTTTTAAGTTTTCTGGCCTCCCACCTCACCAGTTGATAAAACAAGGGTGCACAAAGGCCATTTCCTGTTCCAGAAAGCCTGTAACAATTATATTTTCCCATACAGAGGATATAAACTGGTAGCTGGCTGAATATCTCCGTGAGTTAAGTACCTGGCTGTGGAACAAGGGGTTGGGAGTTTGATTCCCCTCTGTGCCTCCTGGGAGAAGAGCCAGTCTGTGCAGCCTTGGACAAGTTGCAAAGTTCTAGGGTACCTGCCTTCCAGAAGAAGTGAACAGCAAACCGAGCCTGTGTGGCCTTGGACAAGTTGCAAAGTTCTAGGGTGCCCCCTTCTAGAAGAAGTGAATGGCAAACTGCTTTTAAGTACTCTAGAAAACTCTGGAAATGGTTGCCATAAGTTGGAATTGACTTGATACCACATAATTTTTACTATCAAAGGCTTCCACCATCACCCTTTCTAAACTGGCAGAAGAATTCTGGGAGTATCCTTTTTTCACATTTTTGGATCTGCTTTTCTATAGGCTTGTTTTTCGTCCACTCCACTTACTGTGTCCCCCAAACACAGATTTATCTGCCAGCAGTAGCAGGGCTTGGAAGCCACGTATGTGATTACATTTCCTCAGTCTCTACCGTTACATCAGCAAGAAAGAAGGCCAGAGGACGGGCAAAGTTTCTCCTTTATAAATAAGAGAGGGCAACTCATGCATAGCAGAGCACAATTTTTCAGATTTTCTGGAAACCCAAGAGTTGTACTCTTAAGTGGGAAGCAATAAAGGGGAAAATGCTGGCCAAAGAGGCTAATTTTCATTTTTATTATTGTATATTTTCTAAAGATAGCTAAAAAAAAAGTTTTATTAACTGAAGAATGGGTTTAGCACAGACAAAAGGTGTGTTTTTTGGTTAATGGAAAATGTTCCTTGTCTCCTCTAGTAGCCATTTTTTAAAAATCTTATGGTGTCATTTTTTTTTTTTTTTTTTTTTTGGTTAATGGAAAAATGTTCCTTGTCTCCTCTAGTGGCCATTTTTTTTAATCTTATGGTGTCGTGGGCTCTAATGCTTTTAATTCTTTTAAAATGGGGGAATGGGAGATACTGGCTTGTACAGCAGCACAAAAATGGCCCTAGAGGCTGCATGTGACTCATGAACTGCTTGTTATCCACCCCTGGTTTATTTGTCACAATTTGTAGAAAGCAAGTGAAGGGAGGAAGGGCATGTCATGTGAGACTGTGGACGGATATGAAAAATAATTTCTTCGCTTTGACAGTTTCAGTGTGAGGAATGTTTTTGCATCTCTTGAGGATCGTTACAAGAAACACACCTCATCTCAAGGAATCTGTGCATTTGTGAGCCTCATGGGGCATTCCGGATAAATAAGGGAGATATGAAAAATAATTTCTTCGCTTTGACAGCTTCAGTGTAAGGAATGTTTTTGCATCTCTTGAGGTTCGTTACAAGAAAAAAAAAAAACACCTCATCTCAAGAAATCTGTGCATTTGTGAGCCTCATGGGAGATTCCAGATAAATAAGGGAATCACAAAACAATACACACATTTTTAAGTGTAAATAGCTGCAAAGGTATGTAAGTGAAAAAATAAGTTCAAATAAATGGCATTTCCCAAAAATGCATATGTTACATAAAATACATAAATTACTGAATTCATCCAGAGAAATGTGTTCCAAAATGTAGTTGAACTGCATGTGGGCCCAAACAAAATCTTGTAATGCAATTGTGAAGAGATTGGGAAAGTGAGGGGTCATTGATTCTGTTGCTCTTCTGGAACAATTCAGGCTTTGTATCTGCTGCCTGAGATCAGCTGGCTGAGGGAAGGAGGAGATGCCCACAAGAAACTGGAAAGCAGTAACACATGTTGCTGTGAGAAAGAGAGCTTCAAGGCCAAGCTAGGACCATTCCTTGGTACTGAGCTAATTGGGAAAATTGTTTCAGCTGCGTGAGGAGGGGAGGGGAAAGCTACCCTCTTCTTCATGAAGGTTCAGGGAAACTCAGTGCCTGATCGGCACATCTTCTGGAGGAGTCTCAAAGCTAAAACTGAGTATAAAATAAGTTCAGAAGTTACTTTACTTGGCTCAGTTACATTTTAGGAGACTGCTATGCTCATTTGCTACCCTGCTGCAAGGAACACACTTTGCATACGTTTTGAGGCTATGCTGAAGTTATTCTAGGATGTATTAGAATAGATTAGCTAGTTTTCTTATTTTCTTGTGGTTCTGTTCTGTAATTACGCCTGCCTCAAACTTTTGACTGATTATGTACTCCAAAGTCTTTTTTTACCATTTCTGTAACTTTTGGAACCATTTCTGGAGTTTTTCTGTTCTCTTTTGACTATCTCACCACCTTTAATAAAATATAACATTTTTCACAGCCATTTGATTCTTTTAGGTTGAGAGTATTGGTGGTAATTAAAAACAGATCCTACCTTGAACATCTACCAAAGCCTGTATTTTGTAGGTGTGGTGGTATTAAGTCAAAGTGCTTAACTTTGTGGATTTTTGGGAACTGCCTGGAAGCATTGATTAATCAGGTCTAAGGTACTGGGAGGGTGCCAGGCAGGAAAATTCCACATATTTGACCCACTGGTTTCACCCAAACCAGGACAGAGTAGGGTGGCTGAGTGGTTAGTGTGGGCCTCCCTGAACTCAGGTATCTTTGACAGTGATATAGAGCAAAAGCGGGGAGAAATGTAGGTAGAATTAATTAAATATTGCTCACTCCTATGCTATGCCTGGCACTTAAGGCCCCAGGTTCAGCAGAGACAGGAACTCTTTCCAGTGCATATTATACCAGGTTGCCATGAGTGCATGGGCTTGCTAAGACCACCTTCCTTAGAGATGGACTTTAGCAAGCTGCTTAGTACATTTTCTAGGGCTAAGTCCGGTAAATCGGCTGGCATCTCTAATAAGAATGGCATCCACATGAAGACATAATAACAGGCGTCCATGTCACAATAACTGAGACAGATGAGAACTGGGAAATAGCTCTTCGGGTGTAATTATATGGTAACTATTGGCTTGCTGCATTCCCCAATGTTATCGCAGGGTGGCATTCAAGGCATGCAGAGAACTGGCTGCCTTAGCTCAGCTGCCTCACTCCTTAATTTAAAGGTTTTTAATGCCATTCCCTAAAAGGAAGCACAGATTACCTGGTCGAATGGCTGACACAGGCAATATCCGATGACCAATGAACTTTCCTCCTTCTTCATAGACTGCTATTCTCAGGCATGCCAGAGAAGGAAGAACAACCTAAAGAAATAATTTAAAAATAAAGAAATAAATATGATAAACAGGCAGACAGATAGATATGGTTTCTTGACATATTCTATGTACAAAGTAGGGAAAATGAGAAACACTGTTCAATAAGCCACTATGTATAATCCTATAAGTCACACCCAGTGCTCTGATAGCTGTTTTGTGTGGTGTGTGAATATGCACTGCTAGGCTAATTTGATTAACTGCATAGAACATAATAAGAGGAGTTGCCTTCTGAGTTTTTGATTTCATTTGCCACATGAAAACATCCTTCACCAAACAACAACTTTTTTGGCCATAATCTATTTGCACTTCCCAGTTCAAAACCTGTGGGCACTCTGAGGTTGTTCAAAGGTAATTATACTTAATGCAAAGTAACATAATGAAAAGAACATAGGCACACTCAGATACCACACATATGCTTACACATGGTTCTTTCAGCCTCTGTTTTAGTGGACAGAGGGAAAAATGCTTCTCCTTAGGCTGTAGAAAGTTCTGAGGCTATTTTTTGCTCAGACACAGAACCTTTATGTGTGATTCACAGAGACCACAATGAAGAATTGGTACAACCAGCTGAGAAGTGCATTGTTGGTATTAGTTCCTAACAATCTATATGCATGGATATGAAATAAACACATATTAAACAGTGCATTCGTATATGTGTCTACTAAATGAGGTAGAGGACGTGGTCCATATTGCAGTGAAACTACAAGAAACAAAATCCATATCATTCAGCTAGCCCAACCATTATTTCAAAATTTAGGATTACTATAAGGAAATAACTACAGTGGTACCCCGCTTGACAATGACCCCGCTTGACAACAAGAAATAAACACATATTAAACAGTGCATTCGTATATGTGTCTACTAAATGAGGTAGAGGACGTGGTCCATATTGCAGTGAAACTACAAGAAACAAAATCCATATCATTCAGCTAGCCCAACCATTATTTCAAAATTTAGGATTACTATAAGGAAATAACTACAGTGGTACCCCGCTTGACAATGACCCCGCTTGACAACAAGTTTTTGTGATGCCCCGCTTGACAACGACCCCGCTTGACGACAAGTTTTTGTGATCACTATAGCGATCGCAAAATGATGGTTCCTATGGGTTTTTTTCACTTTACGATGATTAGGTCCCTGTTTCACGAACCGATTGTTCGCAAGACGACGAATAAAAACAGCAGATCGGCGGTTCGCAAAATGGCTCCACGTTGTTTTCTGGACCTATTTTCACAAGATGGTAGCAGATCGGCGGTTCGCAAAATGGCTCCAAGCTGTTTTCCGGACCTATTTTCACAAGACGGTGATCGAAAATGGCTTCCCCTATGGAGGGTCTTCACTGGATGATGAGGTATTTTCCCCATTGGAATGCATTAACCAGTTTTCAATACATTCCAATGGGTCTTTTTTTTGCTTGACAACAATTTCGCTTAACAGCGATTTTCCTGGAATGGATTATCGTCGTCAAGCGGGGCATCACTGTAATTAGAAAACCCCAACATAACAAGTCTTGTTTTGCAACACCAATTTCCTCGGGGAAATTAGTAAGAGAAATAAGTTTTTAAAAAATCTAAATTAACAAGCAGAGCATCCACTGACAATGACTACAATTAATAATCATCATTATACTGACTGAAATTAATCCAGTCTTTTGATTCCTGTAAGCATAATAACAAGTACCATTTTAAAATAGTTTTTATTTGGGAAACATGAGAGCAAAAACAAAAATCCTAGGTAGTCTATGGTCTCAGTAGGAGTGTGCCTCCTCCCCAAATTTGGGGGGCGGGGTACCCTCTCTCCTTGGTGAGTGAGCTAACCCAAAAAGGAGTGTGCCTCCTCCCCAAATTTGGGGGTAGGGTATCCTCTCTCCTTGGTGAATGATCTAACTCAAACAGAAACCCACCTTCTTAAATACTATGACCTCATCTTCCCACACAGGATTCACAGCATTGCCTTGAGAGGTTTTGGTCTTGAGAGCTTTCCGTCTTGTGTCCACTGGCAGACCAAACATATCCACTTCTACATAAGTCCCAACTTTTTTGTCAGAAAGCAATTGCCCAGAAATAATCTAGAAACACAAGATGATGAAATTCAGAATGAACAGCAGATGGAGCACTAGACTAAGGTTTAATGGAAAACTGGCGCTTCAGTGAAGGGTTATCAAAAACCTGGTGCCCACAATTTGCCGTGCTTGGAATCTCTATGAAGTGGTATCTCCATGTTCAAGCTGACACATGACCAGTGGGACATGTGTGATGTAGAATCCTTTTCTATGCTGGTGCCATGACACAAGTCCCTGCAATAATAACAATATGGGGATGCTGGTACACAGAACAGATGTTTTCATGGAATCTCTGCTCAGTATGCTTTGGGGTTCATGTACTTCTGAAGATAACCACGAATGCAGTATTACATCTACACAAATCTCTTGAAGCTGTAGCAAGGCAACAAATATACTACCTTACCATCCTTGTCTCTGCAACACAAAAACAAACTTACTTCTCCTGCAGCATAATAGTAGACACTGACAATTAATAAATTCACTTCTTCCTTAGCGTGCAAGAATCACAGATAATGGAAAATCAAACTCAAAATACTACATGGTCAATTCTACTTAAGTAATATACAATAGCTGAAATCATCTTGGCGGAGTTACATGGTAATAAATGGTGACACTGTCATCAGTTATGGTTGTTAATCTTTAATTTGAACTTTCCTATTCCCACCGACCCACTCTCGACAGGTTCCTTAGGGATCCTTTCTGACCTGAGGGAGCTGTTGATATCCAAAAGCCACTGCTAGTGGTCCTGATCCTGCTGGTGGTGATTTTCAGATATTAAAGACTTCCCTTCAGCCCATTTTCCAGGTTGAAAAGGATTCCTAGGCAACCTTGGAAATGGGAGAGGGGAGGGATAGAAGAGTCTTGATGAATCACATCATAGTTCTAGCTACTCTAGCTTTTTTATTTCCACAAAGGTCAACTGGATGCCTTTGGGAAGCCCACATGCAGAACATGAGTGTAGCAGCATCCCTCCCATTGCAGGGGGTCTTGAATCGACTGGAAGAGTTGTGGGATTACGGATTCTTTATAATTCACACCTGGTGACTTCCCCAAAAGGATTGAATTTGTGCTGAAGAAACAAAATAAGCATGTTTACTAGGCTATAGATTCTACGGGTTTCTAGTTTTGTTTTTTTCATGCTACTGATGACAAGTAGCATGCAAAATTGGGAAAGGAGTACGACAAGGCTGTGTATTGTCTCCCTGCTTATTTAACTTATATGCAGAATACATCATGCGAACGGCCGGACTGGAGGAATCCCAAGATGGAATTAAGATTTCCAGAAGAAATATCAACTACCTCAGATATGCAGATGATACCACTCTGATGGCAGAAAGTGAGGAGGAATTAAAGAACTAAAATCATGGCCACTGGTCCCATCACCTCCTGGCAAATCGAAGGGGAAGATATGGAGGCAGTGACAGATTTTATTTTCTTGGGTTCCATGATCACTCCAGATGGTGACAGCAGCCACAAAATTAAAAGATGCCTGCTTCTCGGGAGGAAAGCAATGACAAACCTCGACAGCATCTTAAAAAGCAGAGACATCACATTGCCGACAAAAGTCCGCATAGTCAAAGCTATGGTTTTTCCAGTAGTGATGTATGGAAGTGAGAGCTGGACCATAAAGAAGGCTGACAGCCGAAGAAGTGATGCTTTTGAATTGTGGTGCTGGAGGAGATTCTTGAGAGTCCCCTGGACTGCAAGAAGATCATACCTATCCATTCTGAAGGAAATTAACCCTGCGTGCTCACTGGAAGGACAGATCCTGAAGTTGAGGCTTCAATACTTTGGCCATTTCATGAGAAGAGAAGACTCCCTGGAAAAGACCCTGATGGGAAAGAGTGAAGGCAAGAGGAGAAGGGGACGACAGAGGACATTTGGATAGTGTCACTGAAGCTCCCAACATGAATTTGACCAAACTCTGGGAGGCAGTGGAAGACAGGTGAGCCTGGCGTGCTCTGGTCCATGGGGTCACGAAGAGTTGGACACAACTTAACGACTAAACAACAACAACCGATGACAGAGATATAATAAGACATCATATATTAGTGATGGCTTCAGGTGTTTTGATGGAAGTAAAACCATGACTGCTGGCATGGGAACAATGACACTTTCGACTACAAAGATTGGTTCGATTGAAGTAGTTTCATTACTAACCATTGTGAAGATGCAATTAAAGAGAGATTGCCAAGTTATTTCATTCACTGAAACCAAGAATGATGAGTTTTCCACAGGGTGCCCTTTTTTGTTTGTTTGTTTCAGCAGTCTTTTTATTATGGCCATTATTCACTAACACTGCAGTCTCTTCCTCTCGATTTTGTCACCATTCTTGCCGTTTTCTACTTTCCTTTCTTTAGGAACGACTAGCTTTGGATGGAACATATTTGATCCTGGAATGTGTTTCCCAGGGGAACTCTGAGTCATACACCATGGCCTATCCGACTTGTCTTTGTTTGGAATAGAAACACCATCAAATTCAAACATACTAGAAAAGAAGGAAAATGTCTGCATTTACAGACTGGCAACATAATGTCTCATGGCCAGAACCTATGCAGGAGAACCCTATTTACTCTGTTGGTCTGACAAAGAATGAGTTGACATTCATCTGCCATGGAATATCCTGTCCTTTAGGTTCTACAACTGCTATCTGGCAAACAAGCATACTTTTACCAGAGCAACTGAGGAATGTGAAACCCAAAATGTTCTGCTAAAATATTTCATTATTGCTGTTTGTTAATTTCTAAATATGTTTTAAGTGGTTAGCGGTAACCTTAATGGATCCAGAACAGTTTTGATTGAGGTGCTATTCACTATGCTGGCTAGACCTGGTAGAATGAGTTTTCAACGGCATCTGGGGACCTCACAATAATATCCTTTGGAAATCCCAGAGTTTTGTCATTCTTTTTCAGACCAGTAGATGAAACAGGATTACTGTATTGTGCATACCAAAGGCCATAGCTAACAGTAGCAAGACCTCTTTGCGAAAAGATGCTCCCTGCTCCATTCTTTTTCCTGTGCTCCCTTAAGAGATGTGTTATAAGTTAATGCTGTTAACCTCATTTATCATATACCATTTGGATAAAATCATCTAGTAGTATCTTGCTTTCTATTCTAACCTTCCAGCTGTGGACCTAACTGTTGCTCCTCTGCTTAATGCACATGGAAGTTGATGCCCAGTAACTGGTTCCACATACATTTTAAAGGGGGGAAAAATGAACACTTGGCTTTCGCAACGGATGCCCCGCGTGCATTTTTAATCCAGAAAATGGCATCCAAGTAGAACATTCAGCACAAGAAGCCATCCTGATGTTTTAAGGTTTAGGGTGCTTACATGAAAAAAAAAAACTGATGACATCAGCTATTTCATACTCACCTTCACAGACAAAGTGTTTGCTACTATTCCATCTACAATACTTTCAGCAAATGGATCAAAGTGCTTGTCTGGCCTTCTCATGAACTCTGGCTTTAGCCTGTACCCAGATTTGCCATTATATTCATACATCCCCATATTTATTTGCATAGACAAATCTAAGTGACAAAAACAAAACATTTCACTGTTATTTGTTCTGAGATAGCACAGGTGTGTTCTACGATACAAAACAAAAGAAGGCTCCTGCAATACCAGGGGAAGTTTTCTGTCCTCTTTATAAGTTCATGGTTCTCATGTCAAAATTTCTCTACAAAAAATAAAGGCACATTACACCCTCCACATACACCATTATGAGTAAAGGCTTGCTCATACAATACTTTTGTCTTCCTTTAAAGAAGTATCTGCTCATTTGTCTATGCATTCCTACATATACATTTCTGTCTGTCCAGATAGAAGTATGACATGTACACTGGGTAAAGGTAAAGGTAAAGGTTCCCCTTGACAATTTTTGTCCAGTCGTGTTCGACTCTAGGGGATGTGTTCATCCCCGTTTCCAAGCCCTAGAGCCAGCGCTCCTGCAATACCAGGGGAAGTTTTCTGTCCTCTTTATAAGTTCATGGTTCTCATGTCAAAATTTCTCTACAAAAAATAAAGGCACATTACACCCTCCACATACACCATTATGAGTAAAGGCTTGCTCATACAATACTTTTGTCTTCCTGTAAAGAAGTATCTGCTCATTTGTCTCTGCATTCCTACATATACATTTCTGTCTGTCCAGATAGAAGTATGACAAGTAGACTGGGTACTCCTGGGCATAGTCAGCAGCAGTTTTAAGAACGAACTGCTAGGTTGGTGGGAGCTGGGACAAGCGACGGGTGCTCACTCCGTCGCGTGGATTCAATCTTACGACTGCTTGGTCTTCTGACCCTGCAGCACAGGCTTCTGCGGTTTAGCCCGCAGCGCCACCCTTTGTACACTGGGTACTCCTGAACATAGTCAGCAGCAGTTTTAAGAATAGCAACATCTGAGCTGCTTTTGGCATTGCAGGAACTACTGTGGCTACATCATGAATATCCCTGTTCACCCATTATATCCCTTGGGTATGTGTGTGTACAAATGATACCCAAACTGCTAGGGCAGACAAAAATGGACCTTCACTTTTGCCCACTAGCTGTCAACATTTGGTACTAAAAGCTGGGGGTGGGTGGGAAACCCAGTTAAAAAAAAGAGAAGTGCTTTATCTGTGTGGTTTTGTTTGAAAAAGGATTATCTCAAAGTTGCTCTAAAATCAAAGTGGTCTTTCTTGTTATGCAAACAGAATCCCTAGACACTTCCTAAACTGCAGTTGTTCCTATTTAAGCCGCTAGCATTTTGTCCATTTGAAGGGGAGGGGTGAAACAAAGGACGCTGCTTCATATTTTTGGTCTCACTAGTCCAGTATTGTGAGTGGCAGCAGCTCTCCAGGATTCAAGCAGGATTTTGCCTTAACCACACCCAGTGATCCTCAGTACTTCCCGGTCATCTCCCATCCACATACAACTGAGGCCTCATCCTCCTTAGCTTTGAAAACAGGTGACACTGGGTACGTTCAGGTGGTATGATGGTACTGTTTGCTGTGGGGATGCTGTTTTACTCAGAGTTCGGTTGTAGTACATAATCCTCCCAAGCTCTGGTTTTACCACAGCAGAGGGACATTGGGTCTTCTTGCACTACTTATCCTGAATATACAAATCACTTTTCCTACACTCAGTAATCCTCACAGCAGTCTCAAGTCAGGTCCCAAGCTTGGGGCACTACCTCAGGAAAGGCCATGACGACACAGTAATGTCTGCCCCACTTTACGGTTTCATGTCACAGTTAATCTAATGTTATGTGATTAGCTGTAGTGTTGAGCAATTTTTTCATGCAGCAGAACAGGTAATTTTGAGCGCATACCATGCTGCAAAAGGCGATCAAGATCCACTGCTATTTTTACAGTGTACTAAATGCTTTCAGTTCGATGGCTGAGCTTGGACATCACACACTGCAGACTTATCTGGGGGGGTGGGGTTTGCAACCACGGCTGGTACTGAATGTAACAAAATCTGGACAAAGGCTTTGAACGTATTGCTTAATGACAGAAATTTAGCATAAACATAATTTAAGGAAACAGAATCAAATGAAGAGGTGGGAACTGTATGGACCTCCAAATGCAGCTTCTATCAACTTGAGCCAGCATCACCAATGGCGAGGAATGACTGGAACTGAAGTCCAATAACATCTGGGGGGACCACTAGAGGAGAATTACTGAAGCAAAAGGGCTATGTGTTCTGCACACAATTGAAATAAATAACAGTGAAAGTTCTGTTGAGAAACAATGCACTTTGGACGGTACTTGTGTAGCTTCTTTAAGAGGCTGCTATGGCAGATGTGTGCTTGTGACTCTTTACTTTGGTTCAGTTCAGTTCACAATCTCAGTTTGGTTATGGCCAAACAAATCCAGAAAAAGATATACAAAAACCAAAGCAAGCGGCAGAGTGGATGCTTACCTACAGTTTGGAAGTTCAGAGCTACCATCTGACAGCCTGCGTTCCAGAAGAGCTGAGGCATGTAGTTGGAGGAATCAACCCGTGTCCCTTTGGGATAAATTCGGCTCAGCTGCATTTTATTATACCTGAACGGCGAATGGTTAAGACAAAATACAGCTGGAAATGTGACCTGGCTTGAAACTTTAAATGAAAACATTTATTTGTACACATAACTAATGATGTGACTCATTTGGTAAATGATCCCTTCGCCACATATTTTATGGTCACTTGTTGGGCAGCAAGGCTGTGGATGCTCCTGATCATGCAGTTCTCTCAGGGCTACCTAATGATAATTTGTTCCTTGAGGCAAAGAAAAAGATGGCACTCCCATCCCATTCTGTGTGAAGGCATCAGCTGGACGGGTAGTTGGATCTTTCATTACCTTTATGTTGAGATTACATCCTCCAACTCAACTAAGGCAAGAGGTTAGCTGCCCATGGAGTGTGGTGCTGCCTGGGTGGCCTCCTTCCATGCCTAATGTGACTCATTTGGTAAATGATCCCTTCGTCACATATTTTATGTGCAGCAAGGGCAGCAAGGCTGTGGATGCTCCAGATCATGCAGTTCTCTCAGGGCTACCTAATGATAATTTGTTCCTTGAGGCAAAGGAGAAGACGGCACTCCCATCCCATTCTGTGTGAAGACATCAGCTGGATGAGTAGTTGGATCTTTCATCACCTTTATGTTGAGATCACATCCTTCAACTCAACTAAGGCAAGAGGTTAGCTGGCCATGGAGTGCAGTGCTGCCTGGGTGGCCTCTTTCCATGCCTTGCTATTGCCTCCCAGCAATGGTCCCTGGAGGTAGCAACTTTACAACTGTTCAGTGGCCCCTGATGTAACTCTGCTGACTTCTAGAACAGGCCCTGGGGGCTGTGTGCAGCAGAAATACTGGGAGAGTGTGGGCAGGCAGGAAGGAAAGGACTTATCTGATGGCTAAGGTTCTGCTCAACCAGCAGTGGACAAGACTGGATGGAGATGAGCAACAGGTCTCCACACAACCACCAGCAGACTCAAAACCTAATGAAAATCACTCAGAGGGACCAAGTCTGTACACAATGGCTTCTGAAAAGAAGTAGTGAATACTTATCTGCTGCAATTTGTCACTCCCTTTAAATTCAAGGCTGATGGGCTGGCATTCTCTTCCATCTTATATAACAAAATTCATGTATCCAAAGTATCACAGAACAATTGCCTTGACATGAATGACTGGAAGGAGTCAGTCCGGAGGAGAATTCTGATGCAAGTGTAGACAACCAACTGTGGAAACTTTAGAACATACAGTGTTGCAATGTGATCTGTACAAAATGGACTTTATAGAAATTTATAAATCTGTAAAAACAAGGGCAAAAGCAATGGGAGGAATCAGGATATATTGGTGCCTTTCCTGACACGTCAAGACTGATAGGCTCATACTTGATTTGATAGTTTCTTAGTGGCAGTTCAGTGTGATTAGAAGAAATGGATTAAAGTTTCATGGGATAGGCTGCCAATAAGATGACTCTGGATAACGAAACTAGAAAGGAAGAAAGGGGTGTCAAAACATGTGTTTTTATTCTTTCTCCCTACAGGGGACAATCTATTCTGGACAGAAACCAGGAACTTATCTTTCTCAGCTGTGGCCAAGTTCTTATACAATATATATACACATATATATCTATTTCAATTTCAAAGATACTCCACAAACTCAACAGGAGATTTTGTGAGCTGCTCGAGTGCTTTGGTTTCCACAAAGGAAGACATTTCAAAACTCTTGTTCCGTTCTGCAATTTAAACACAAAGAAAATAAAGACCACAAAGTAAATAGATCTGCACTCATCACAGTAATATTCGTTTACAGAGGATTACATATTGTGCTGCTGAGTACACACAGATTTATATACCCAGTGTATGGACAAGCACTACATTCTAATCAAGAGATTCACTCTGCCCCACATTCTACCTTTTTTCTACTTTGAGAAGTCTAAATATTAATTCACAAAAAAGAAGGACTTTATGTAAAAATCATTGCTTTACATGTTATGTTATTCCAAAATGATATAGTTCCAAAACTAATCTTGCATTGGCTAAAATCCTGTTAGCAGACTTATGCCATGCAACTTGGATGATATTACAGTGGACCCTCGACTTACAGACTACTTCACTTACAGACTTTTTGAGTTACAGACTTTTCTGGCCGCAAAATTTAGGTTCGACTTGCAGCCAGAGAATCAAAATACAAACTGGAAAAAAAAAACCCAAAATGGAACAAAAATGGCCAGTTACAGATTAATCGGTTTTCAAGGCATTGTAGGTCAATGGAGCCTCGACCTACAGACTTTTCGACCTGCAGCCACCATTCCAAAACGGATTAATTCCGTAAGTCAAGGGTCCACTGTATCAGCTGGGGCTATGATATGGCTGTTTCAGGGCAATTTAAGACTTCCTAGTCCCTACCTTCCCAACACCAGTTCCAATGATCCCTAGAGATCCATGTACAGTATTTCCGGGGAAGCATTGGGGGGCAGAGAAAGGAAGTGATTTAAAACTGAAAATTACTGCTACCAGTCCCTGTGGCAGGATTGGGACCAGTGACCATAGGCTTTAAATGGTTCTTTACCTGACTCTGCAGCTCCTAAAGGCTTCCCTAGGATGAAAGGGATCCCTAGAGATCACTGGAACCTGGGGAGGTCTGAGAAGTTTTTAAGTGCCCCCAGATAATTGTGGCTAATTACATCATCCAAGTGCACAATGCAAGTTGTACAACAGGATTTCAGCCACTAAGTCTATTTTAGTATCAGAGACACTGTTCCACCCTTAATTTTCTATAGTCATAAAAATAAGGATGGAGGCATGGAAATTATTGTGATCGCAAATGAGTATTTTGCATTGTCACCTATGGAGCAGCATTGAATTCACAGTTCTAGGCCTCAAGCAGAGATCTTGATGGCTATTTTCTTATGTTTCCCAGTAATTGCAAAATAAAAGGAATATCAAACGGAACACATCCATGTCAAAATGTTCTTTCTCTAACTAACTCATCACTGCAACATTGCTATTTCCAAATTACTCATAAAGTCTTAACTTATTTAGTTATAAAAATGTAAAATAATAAACGAAATAGCATAGTATCAGTTGGTCATTCATCAGAAACATATCATTAAAAACAATAACCTTGTCTGTAGAACAACCAAGGTTTTGCCAGAAGATGGCAGGATCTTCCAACGCAGACAATTTCACAGATTGCTGGCTTTGCTGACTGTCGTTAACAGCTAATTTGGAGCTCTTGATGAGATTTGGCTGCATATCAGTGGCAGTTGAGTGTGTTGGGGTTTTTTTCCCCCAGACAAAAGACAGTGCCTGTGTGTTGCTCTAGAATGCTGCCATTTAAGAAAGGGGAGATGACACCAGTTTCTCTTGGCCAAAATTTGGAAGGAAAGTGGAAGGAAAGAGGAATGGCATGGTTCTAAAGTGCCAGGAGGAAAATCTCCACTTGGCACCTAGTGATGTCAGGGATGTGGTTACATATCTTTAATTGTCACCCAGTCTGAGGAAGACTATAGAAAATGGATCCTGCCCCCGCTTCCCATTTGAGCTGAGCAACTTCTTTTATCTTATATAGGTTACTAGAAACCTAATCGTTATCTTTCACCGTCACTACAGCAGGTAGTACATTATCAGGGCACAGTGCTGGTCATCACCAAACTATTCTTCTTGGTTCGAAGGCTTTCCTTCAGGGCATGCAGTGGCTGCTCTAAATTTTGGAGATGCTTCTCAGTGTGCTTTTTTCACCCTGAGTAAGCACACCTCCTTTCTGCTATCACTGATGCCCCTTCACTTCCCTTTGGCCTCTCAGCCAAATGCACATCATGGCCAAAGAAGAGGGAGGCAAAGGGAGCAGAGTGTACTGCTCCTTCGTCTTCCTCCAGTAGCTACTTTCTTGCTCAGAGAAAGGGAGAGGCAAACAGAAGAGAAGCAGCAAGTCACAATACTCTGGGGGTTGGCAGTCTGTCCCACCAGGTGTTGGATGATGCCATGACAGCCCTGTTGGCACTAGCCATTCGGTGGAATAAGCAGCATTGATGTATAAGTTCAATACGGTAGGTGGAATAGTTCCAAGACTGAGGAAATTGGGTTATAGCCCATGGAAACTGTACAATGCTGTTGGGAGTCAGAACAACAAATAAACTTACAGCACCTTAAAAACTAACAAGTTTTATTTAACATATGCTTCTGTCAACTGCAGCCCACTCACATCTGAGGAAGTGGGAGGCAGACCATAAGAGCTTATTTCAAATAAAACTTGCTAATCTTGCAACTTTGTTGTACTCACTCACTCGCTCACTCATTTTGCAAGGTGACCATTGGTAACTAAATGAAAGCACCTTTATCAGGGCTGAATAATAAAGGGCAAACAGGTGAAAGAAGTGGACCAGTTTCAAAGTTCATTAAAAATATTAGGATGAGGGGGACGGAGACAGATGTTGGGAAACATAGGAAAAAGCAATTTAAATTCCATACAGGGTGAGGAAGATGTCACACATATCTAACAACAGTTAGAAAAATTACTTTTTGGATTACAACTCCCAGAATCCCCCAGCCAGCATGACCATTGCCCATGCCTGTTTGGGGATTCTGGAATTTGTAGACTGAACAGTAACTTTTTCATGATTTGGGCTAGTTTATGACCCTGGCTATGCAAATAGGTAGCAGACAGCACTAGTGGCTACACAGACAGAGAAACATACCAATACCAGCAGATACTTGAGCTGTCTCTAGCAGGAAGCAGGACACAAAGGCCTTGTGAGCCAGAGTGCAAAATTACAAAAAATATATGGCGTACTGTAGTAGTAAATCTAAAGATGAATTTTAACCGACATTTTATGTTTTTTGAAGACAAGAAAAGGACTGTTATTTGGAGGTTTTTCCAGTCTTTTTGGTTTTGTTCTGTTTTGTTTTGTTAAGGGCAGATTATTAGATTTTTCAATCCGTTCTAACATTGCCATTCTAAGTATAGCTAGTTTTTACTTTACCAGCCTGTGGGACATCTGGTTACAAAGGCAGATATATTGAGAAATAAGAGTCAATGAGGCTATCATATTACAGCTGCTTCTCCAAAGCACAATGCACAACAGGTCAAAGCATCAGATACAACTACAGAAGTTACATTTTTGGAATACACCTCCCAGAAGTCTCCAGTTCCATACAGGGTGAGGAAGATATCACACATATCTAACAACAGTTGGGAAAATTACTTTTCGGATTACAACTCCCAGAATCCCCCAGCCAGCATGACCATTGCCCATGCCTGTGCAAGAATGGAAAAACATTTGTGTGTGTGTGTGTGTGTGTGTGTGTGTGTGTGTGTGTGTCACTTTTAAAAGCATAGGGCATTTTGAAATGAGCAGAACCTGTGGAACACTCTTTTTAAATAGGCTTACAGGTTTCTTCCTATCATGACAGCCTGATGCTTGAAGAGGAGTGCTAAATGTCTACCATGATCATGTTAGGTCCAAAACCTCAAAAATTGAAGAGGAGTGCTAAATGTCTACCATGACCATGTTAGGTCCAAAACATCAAAAAAAGTCATGTTGCCCATTCAGATGCTGACTCCTGCACCTACTCGCACTCATGGTGCTTCTTGAAGTAGTTTGCCCTGCCCTGCTCCCTGGCAAGGCCTGCTCCCTTCTCATGTCTCCTGTTGCCCATTACCTTTAAATTTTCATAAAAGCAGCACTGGACAATCTTGAATTTTACTGGTGTCAGTCACTGTGCAGTCACTGGCATAAAAGAGTCATCTTCTGATCTGAAAGACTTTTAGCTTAGAGACATGCCACAATTTTCATAAAAGCAGCACTGGACAATCTTGAGTTTTACTGGTGTAAGTCACCGTGCAGTCATTGGCATAAAAGAGTCATAAATAAATAAATAAATCTCCTGATCTGAAAGACTTTTAGCTTAGAAACATGCCACAAAGGAATCTACTTCTGTGTTTGCCAAGCTTCAAGCTGTAATCATCCATCCATTCATTACTGGCAAACCTCTGGAGTTCAATGTTCAGGGAGCTCACAACCAGATAAAGAGACATCCCTGCTGCAATTTGGAGGGAGGTGCCCCTCCTATAATCTGCAACCAACTTCCAATGGTACTTAAAGATGGGTTCCATGCCAGACGGGTTCCATGCCATCAGAAGAAAGGGACAGTTTCATTTTCAGCTTGAAATAAAGGTCATGGTCATAATATGGAGAAGGCTACCAGTATGGGCACTTATTCTCCAGCTAAATGGCAGAACTGTGTGTTGCAATTCATAGTAAGAAAATCTCAGAAAACACTGTCAGAATCCTGTTTAACATCATCAGAGCATAATGCGCCACCGGTAGCAGGGACACCTTCTGACTGTCACCCAACTTCTGTGGTGCAGTTAGAGATGGTAGAGTGTTTTCTAGCCTGCACAAAGAGGTAATCTTTGTATAAGTTCTATAATTATCATTGTGTAAGTAGCTAACAATAAGTCTGTTGTAAGCTTCCAAAATTAATTCATATGATCCTCAAACAAAACCCCTGCAAATGTATACTTATACTTCATCATCTACATAAACAAAGACCTAGCATATGAACAGCTTCTTTAACAACTTCTACCTACAGCTAGTAATTATCCTCTTCTATCCACCACTGCATTTCAGAAATGCAAAGCAAAGGACAGGGCAAGCAGAAACATCAAAGTGCACAACCCTTAAACAGAAAAAGCGGAACATAAGCTTGGAATGTCCATTCCTTGCATTCAGAACTCATAACCCCTGGGTTGGCAGTTTCTATGAAACTTATTTTGGATTCAGCATGATTAATTCAAATGGTGTCGACCTCCCTTTAAAAGGCAGCAGGAGAGCACACAGCTGTCCACCCTGTCAAGCCCAAATGAAATAGGACAGGCTTTCTTTAAGGGGGTTCTGCTCTAAGTAAGGAAAAAGAAGTCTATTTGTTTGCCTAAGACGTTGCAAAGTGCATTACCAGCAAGACGTCTCCTGCAGAAAAACAGCAGGCAGTCATGATTATGGACCATTAGTTTCTAATAAACCCGTTTATGACAGACGGAAAACAAATGAAAATGCACACAGGGAGATGGATTTTGAATTCCTATTCAATGTTATGCTTGTAGATAAAAGCATTTTGCTGAAGAGGCAAAAACAACAACGCAAAACCCCATTTCTAGCACAATATGGCATTTAAAAGCATGAAGAGGAAAGCTGGTACAGTTCACCACTTTGTTCCTGATTGGTATGAGAAAAGACTTTCCTGCCAAATTCAGTGGGACTTGAAAGGACTTGACTTTGGCTGATTGAGCCATTAACCTTTTCCCTTCCTCTCACTTTCAACTTAAGGACAAATTGGCACAAGACGATTTCTACTCAAATGGCTGCTGCTGAATATCATTGACATGAATTTTAATGTTGGCCTAGTACCCAACAGGCACCGCTGTATTCTTATGTAAGGTAAATACTTGACATGTGAACAATGTGAGGGCTATGGCTAGCTGGACTGGCCCTCTCCCTAATCAAACAGAAATCTCTCTCTCCTTACAAAGCTCCTATAATATTTGCTTAGAGGTGTGATGATCACATCATAGTCTCTTCACAATCAAAGTTCACATAATTTCCAAAATCAACAGTTGCCTTTCCTGAACAGATCCACTTCCTTTCTTGGGTGCTGCAATAGTCTGGACAGCTCTGTGGATGACCTGGCTCAGAATTCGCTCTGTGATCCAATTGCCCTGCCCTGCAACACTTCTATAAGCTAGAAAGAAATGGCTGCTGAAGTGAAGCACAGGGTCAATAAAACTATCCTGCCAGTCCCTACAGAGGCCTAGGGATGGATGTCTTCTGCAGGCACTTACATATAGGTGGACAGCATGTAGTCTGCCAGCTGCCTACAGACCTTGCTTCTTAGTGTAGTCCTAGACTCTCACAACTCCAACCCTCAATAAAGAAGGTAAAGGTTCCCCTTGACCTTTTGAGTCCAGTCATGTCTGACTCTAGGGGGCAGTGCTCATCCCGTTTTTCAAGCCGTAGAGCCAGCGCTTGTCCGAAGACAGTTTCCGCTGTCACGTGGCCAGCATGAGTAGGGAACAACATTTTACCTTCCCACCAAGGTGGTACCTATTTATCTACTTTCATTTGCATGCTTTCGAACTGCTAGGTTGGCGAGGAGCTGGGACAAAGCAACAGGAGCTCACTCCGTCGATTGGATTCTATCTTACGACTGCCGGCCTTCTGACCCTGCAGCATAGGCTTCTGAGGTTTAGTCCACAGTGCCCTCAATACCTTTAATTAAAAAGAAGGAAAAGTGTGTGCCTTGCTACCTCTTGAAAGCACGATACTCCTCTAAAAATCAGAGTACAAAGAATATTTGCTAAATCCCCCATTCTTGATTTAGACCACTGGTTCTTAACCTTGGATTACTCATATGTTTTTGGACTGCAACTTCCAGAAGCCTTCACCACCAGCTGTCCTGACTGGGGTTTCTGGGAGTTGCAGTTCAAAAGCATCCGAGTAACAAAGGTTAAGAACCACTGATTTAGACTACGTCAATGACAATGAGACATCTTGCAAGGAATTTTAAAGCTGAGAATCTTTACTACCAACTGAGATTGGGGCGGGGGGGGGGGAGAGCTAACTCCAACATTGTTCAAGCACAAGAATACCTTAGAGGACATACTTAGAGGAGAGCACCTAGATCCTCTGGCCATGGCTCTCTTCACAAGATAATGGGAGAACCTGAAGAGCAGAAGTTCCTGCTCAGGTGCACTCTCTACATCAGCACTATCCCAGGCACTTCACGGTTCCTGCTCTGTTATCCAGCGAAGAAAGTGACGGTGCGTCTGTGTGTGTGTGCAAGTCTATGTACTCTCCCTAAGTGTGTTCAAGAAACTCAGTATGCTACTGTCTGAGTAAAACTAAGTTCTTCATCATCTTGGCTGGAAGGGAGAAAAACCATAAGACTCCTTATCTGTGCATGTGAGGAGAAGGCAAGTAAGCATATAATATCCCTGCCAAAACTAAATGCCTTGGAGCATTTGTTAAGCAGAAGGGAAATTTGGATCCTTTTTTATTGGGAGGGGGGGATAGAGGGGAAGCACATTTTTTTCACAACAGTACAGCCTGCAATAGGGCTTTGCAGGGAACCAGCCTCTGAGCCCAGTGAAGTTCCCCATCCTGGCACATAGGCGCTTCACCCTTTATCACACACTCTGGATAATATTTATGCATACAATTTTTTTAAAAAAAAAATCAATGTGAAAAAGGTGCCAGCCTTTTAGCAGGCTGTCCAGTATATGTGTCCAGTTTGCACAGGGATGGCAAAGGATTCTTAGCTGAAGAATCAATTTGACTCATTCCAAGACTTGGGTGAGGCACAGAGTGCATATAGAAATGTGTACATCGGCAGGGCTCGGGGTTCATTTTGGAGAAGTAAGACGAACAATAAATGGTGTATGCTTTAGAAAATGCAAATAGCTTAAAATGCATGTAGTTGAAAAATAAATAGAAGTATGCTTTGGTTAGGGGAAAAACCACACACATCGGCAGAAATCTGCACAGATTTCCATGTAAGAAATAAAAACAGAACCTCACTACTGGATAAGAATAATAGATGAGATGATAACAGAGCAGGGATTTAGAACAATAGATATAAATCCTCACTTGGAAACTACGAGCTTTTCCTCCTTGCTTCTGAGATACTGAGAATTTACGATTTAATAAAAACAATCACTGGGTCATTAGCAAGCACTGTAATATCTCCACAGTTTTATTAAGTCATCCGAATACATATGTAGACATCTTACATTGTAGACCACCTCCTCCAATTCTCTTTAATCCCCCAGAAGAGAAAAAATAATCACAGATCTACCAGAGTGGAGGCTCAGTTGATTTCATTCTGTCAGAAAAAACTGCAGAACTACATAAATAGAAGTAAAATTTTGTTCTGCTAAAACCTCACTTAGGCTTTGAGATGCTGAAGAAACCTTGCTATACATTTTCTTTTGTCCATGTTGCCATTTTTACACACCAGCTATCTGCTCAGCTGGCTAGATAGCTCAGTGGTTGGAACATCCAGCCACAAAGCCAGAGTTCAGGAGCTCCTGACCACAGGAATTGTGGTAAATCTGGAAGTATAGATGTCTATCATTACAACCCCCATAAACCAGTCCCTCCCTTTAAGGAGAGTCCAAACATGCAGACAATGCTTCAGTCCCTATCAGCAAATAAGGTGCAGGCCTTTTGTAAAGTTAATGGCTCTTAATTGCCCATTCAAAATCCAATGGCCCTCAAGCACTGTTCCATCACAAGAGGGATAATTTGTAACAATACACAACCCCTGGGAAAATCCATTTCTTTCTCAGCCGATATCATTGTAGTTATCCTGGGGGGGGGGGGCAACAAGGAATCTTGAGACAGATAGCAGATTATGTTGCACTCCCTGCTATGCAGACAGTTCTAGATCTTTGACCATGTGAGCCCTGGCTCCACTGCATCCCTGCTCCTGGAATAAGAGCTAGCCCATTTAGCCTTGGCAAGCTGCATGGTCCCAAAGAGCCACAAGAAGGAGGAACCAGTAGATCGAAGCTGCATGGTCCCAAAGAGCCACCAGAAGGAGGAACCAGTAGATCATTTCTGAGAGCTTAATGTCTAAAATACTCCGGGGAAGGGCCATTGTACATCAGAATTAATTTGGTGGCATATAATTATTATCTGAACTTGTGCATTTTTAAATGCAGAAAGTTCCCCAAGATTCTAGTGTTATCTCCTCCATGGAAACTTAAATCATTGTTAAGGGAAAAAGAAGGCCCTTGTGCATGAACATGTTCTTCAAAAACCTCCATGGGTGTTAGATATTTACATACCTGAACAGGGAGTGTGTCCCTGTCCCACCTTTCTGTCACAGACTGAAAACTCATGAAATGTCTGTATGAGAGATGGGCACGAACTTTGCTTTGGGGGGGTTAACGCCAGTTCATACGTGCAGGAGCACTAGTGGTGCGCGTACCCTTCCCTCGCCTCCCCGGCCAATGATTCACTCACCTGTTGCACCGCACCGCTCTCCTCTTCCTCTTCCGCTGGCTGTTCAACCCGTCCCCTGCAGAAGCACAGGTTGGCCTGTCATGCCTCCTTGTCTGAGTGGCCGGTCGGCCAAGGAGGCGGGGGCAGGGGACTGGTCGGACCACTGAAGAGGGGAAGGAGCGGAGCGTGTGCCGGCTGGTGAGTGGGGGAAGGGGACATGTGACACCTGTGGTGCTGTCCGTATGAACCGGAATAAACCCTCGAACCGAGGTCTGTGCCCACCTCTAGTATATAGGTGCCATTGAGGACCAAGGGCAGCTCACAACAGTTAAAACTGTACAATGGTAACAGGTCAAAAAAAAAAACTATACAAAACTACAATAAAACACAATAACTAAACATTATTTAAAACATTTTAAGAAACATTTTAAAAAGGCCCAATACTGCTGATTTCTTGAGCCAGCTTACACCACCAACCTGATATGGCAGATGTCAGAATGAAAGTGAAACGTGATACTTTTCCTACTCACTTTGGGATATCTCAAAGGACTCAAACTTCACCGGCTGTATGTAATTCACCAAGTTTGACATTTCCTCAGTAGCCATGGCTTCACTTCCAGCTGTCCCCTAGAAGAGATGCAGACTAAGGTCATTAGCAGCATCACCGTTAATGCCAAATACTTACAAAGCATTGCTAATCTCATAAAGGCATGCAAACAACTACAAGTTGTGACCAATTATGCTGTGGTGACTGGAATTACAAATGCAGCTAATATGTTTTGTCAAGCAACTTTCTCTCAACAGAGAATTCTGGGTTGGCCTGTCCTCCTTTCTTGTTTGTCCCTGAGGTTTAGATTGTGAGTGCCACCCCAGCACAAAACAAGGAAAACTGTGGGTCTGGAAAATCCTGGGGGTCCTAGAGGTACAGTATAAAGAAATCTTCAAGGGCAAAAGAATCCTAAAGGTCAAGGAGTGGGGAAAAAGCCACCCTGCTGAAGACTGAGTGTGCTCCAGGCCACACAGAATAGCAATGGACTGTTGAAGACTGGAGTGGCAGAAGTGAGAAATGAATGACTGACTTCGAACAGGAGGCACTCAATTATAACACCCCTTATTTTCACCTCAGAAAAACAGGTGCATGGACAATCGCACACCATTAATTTTAATCAAACACATACATCTCAGAGATTTAGTAATAAATGCTATGTTTCGCATGCAATCTGAGCAATGTCCTTGCATTCCAGCAGCAGTTCTACCATGTCGTGAATATTCCCTCCTTTCAACCAGCTCCTCAAAAGATATCCTCATTTGAAACTAGAAAGCCTTAGCTTCTGATTCATAAAACACTGCTCCAGGTAGAGAAAAAAATGGGCAAGAGACACAGTATATAATGAGACATGCCATGCGAAGAGTGGAGGCCACGGAGAAGCAAGGATTCCATATGCCTCTCAAAGAAGGTCATCTGAAGCTGCTCAGCTCCTCAGGAAATGTTGATAGCGCAGCCGTAAGTATCTGGAGCCCACGGCAGAACTTGCTTCCACATTGCCCACAAGATGGCAGTAGAATACCAAGCCACACAGGCCAATAGGCAAACATGCTTTCACCAAGTCATGCCAGGACAATTTGTACTTGAAAATGATTCATTCCTTACTTCCTCCATTGATGATTTTTTGCAGTCATCGTCATAATCATCATCATCATCACTCTCCATCTCCGCTTCCCCTGCAAGATTTTAATTGCGGGAAAAGAAAGAAAGAAAGCTCAGTGTAGATAACCCTGCCAAACATTATCACATTTGGACCATTACTGTGAGCAAAAATGGATTCGCTTCAAATACAGTGATAGTATCACAGACAGGCTCATGGCGCTCTCTCGGGATTGAGGGCTATCTCTCAGAGCCTGTATCTGAGAACTAAAAAGTAACGATGATCCTCTCCACCCATTTAAGGACAGCATCATGAGGGTGCCATCTATTCGCTCTTGTTCTGCCTGCTCATATAGGTATGAACTCAGTTGTAGAACAATAAAAAGGAAAGGAAAGAGGAAAGGAAAGATGCCGAAATGAGAGGGAGCAGAGTTCATGGCCAGAAAATGTTCAAACATTGTGTCATTTACGGTCAGGAGGAACACCGGACACATGGAAATGCCCCTATTTCTTTGTGGCGTACTGCCACTTCTTTACTCTCTCCCAGACGCCTGGGTTTGTGTGCCTTGTGCACACATGTAGTGTGCTGCGTAGCAATAATCTGCTTCGGTGCCCATAGCACATGGCGTGGTTGCTAAGGAGCCCAGCAGATTCAGCCCCAGAAAATAGAGGAAGCCACAATCTGAAACCCTGGAGAGCTACTGCCAGTTAGTCTAGATGTCACTGAGCTGCAGGCCTGCTCCTGGACCTCATCCTGTGCCCTGAATGTTTTGGCCATGCCCTAGGCAGCAAACCATGGCTGCTGTGGACCTGCTGTGAGGAGGGAAAGGGGGACCAGGTGCACGGCTACCAGCTGCTACGTCCCCTTGCATTCATCCTCCTCAGGCCTGAGCAACTCCAGTCACACACAGAGGAGACAGTCTTTCTTGTGGCACTTTGAGGAAGATCATGGTGGATCTGCAGCCCTATAGGAAATGGCTGTCAACTCATCTTCGCAGGAGAAGGATGGGCCCATTTCCATGCCAAAGAGAGATTTTCCTGAACAGATCCCCTTCCTTTCTTGGGTGCTGTAATAGTTTGGACAGCTCTGTGGATGACCTTGCTCAGAATTCGCAGTGATTTTGACCATTCCCGACCCTTAGTCTCTGTGGATGACCTTGCTCAGAATTCGCACTGTGATTTTGACCATTCCAGGTCCTTAGCGAGCATGCTTGCATGGCTAACAGATGTCAAAGTACTGATCTGATAAAGCAAAAGGGTACTGATTATATACTGCCCCGTAGCACTTAAAGGACTTTCTGGATTTGTAAGAATATCATTGTAGTTATCCTACACATTGCCCCCCCAGCGAGCTGGGTACTCATTTTACCCACCTCGGAAGGATAGAAGGCTGAGTCAACCTTGAGCCGGCTACCTGGGAATTGAACCCCAGGTCGTGAGCACACTTTTGGCTGCAGTACAGCGTTTTAACCACTGCGCCACGAGGCTCCTGATAAATAAGTTCTCCTTCTGAGACCTCCTCACAAGTGGAGTTACCAATTAGTTTGTGGGATTTGTGTTCTCTTGTGAGGACTCCTTTTAAATATAAAAATTCCACAGGTCACTCTGGCAGCCTCCAGCTATATTCTAGGCAGAGTACAAACATGGCAACCTTCCATTCCAGACTTCAGATACTGGCTCTGCTTTTGGACTCTGGCTTCCTTTTCAGCCTTGGTGCATGAACTGACCCTGTGCTTCTACCTTTGGACTGTAAGTCTAGGACAGGGTGCTGCTAACTTGTAGCTGTTCTATTGCTGCACTTCAGAATCAGAACACAATCAGCCAGGTTGTTTCATGACTGGAGGCCAGGATCTAAGTGGATTTCTCAGCTATGCAGCAGTGTTGTGATCCAGGAGAAGAGAGCAAAGTGTTAGTAGGTGCCACTGGTGTAATTGTTTGGAATGGGGAGCCAAGCATGAATTTACCCGAAGGGCTTATGCTCTACAAAAGGATTTGCTTGTCTATTCCCTTTGCAGTTGGGTGCCATCTGTACTTTGCTGGGCCTGGTTTGCTGATAGGACCAACAGGGCTGGCTAGCAGGTGAAAATGAAGGAGGAGGAGCAGCAGCAAGGGATGACTAACCCAGTGCCAGGCCTATAAAATGGGGATGATAACCATGGTGACACCCCACAGGACTCTTTTTCCATAAGTAAAGGGGAAGGAGAAGGAGGCAGCACACTACATGCTCTTGTCACCTGACAATATCTCCAACGAATGCCTGAATTTGAGGGGTCCTCAGAGCCAGGACTCTATGTGAATGGCAACCAAGCAAAGAGAGCAGGTGATATTCCTGGTTCTCCCTCCCATGGTGCTTGGGCTTCCACAGCTACTTTGAAGCAGGCATTTGTAAAATATACAAATACAAACATTCACACACGAACATATATCTGGCTTTGTAGACCCACCACTAGTGACAGCTCTACATAGCAGTAATGGCCATCCACTGCAGCTTAGCAGTGTGAAACTGCCACCTCAGTTTACCTACCGCTGAGGACACTGTGGCAAGCAACCGTGCTCATGGCAAGGCTGGTTCTGAGTAGAGTGATCATAATTCACCCAATTCCCTGCCAAAAACTTTGTGGAGCAGAACAAGGTGATTCCACCTTTTTCTGACTTCCAACAGGCCCCCAATTATTCTGAGTCCAATTACGAAATGGCTTTTGAAAAAGGGTGATATATTATCAGTACCCAGCACACACTTGCCTTCCTGATAGATGGTATCAAAAGGCTATGATTCATTCAGAAATAAGTCTTGGACAGAGGACCCAGTGAAGCAAAACATGACTAATGAACAGGCGCTTGGGGGGTGGGGATGCTTATCAGCGTGAAATCATTAACAGCAAGTGGGGCTGTATCTAGAGAAGGACAATCACTGGCAGCCACTTCAGCCCATTTCCTCCCTAATCTATCTTGGTTTTAAATTTAGATTATAAACCAATGGGCAGGGCTTGTTTTATTTCTACTCACTACTTACTCAAAGTAAAAATAAAACCACTCCAGACATTTTTTTGGGGAAAGGATCTTTTAAATTTCAAAAAGGCATGGGAGAGGCACCTGCATCTTGTTTAAAAGAAGGATGACGGCTGGCAGAGGCTTCCATGAATAGCAATTTACCTTTTATCATTACACTTTTTTTTAATGGAAGGCAACTTCCAATGATTGCCAATCTAGCTTTCAAAGTCTTACGGTGCCCATTCATGCTTTAAAATCAGCACTTTAGTTCACTCCAGATGAACCAGATCACTATTAGTTGGTAAGAAACCCATTTAAAAGGTTCTTCAAAACCAAAGAAAAACACAGTAACTTCTCCAGGTTGGGTTACTCATGTACAGGGATGGGAAAAACTCTCCTTAGATTCCCCATTCTTGTTGACACAGGCTGTCTTGACATGATGACATTCCTTGTGAAGGAATTTTAAAGCACTGAAATATTTCATGCCTCCAAGCAAATTCTAAAGGTCCCCATAATTTCTGCAACATGTCTAGTGTCCTTTCCCTTTGGGAAACAAACTATGGACATGCAGGCAGCAAACACAGGCAGACTGGCTGATTATTAAGAAAGGTGCCAACAACAACTTTTCTGATGGTTAAACTTCTGCAAAAAAGCAAAAAAGTACATTTAAATTTCAGCAATTCATACAATTTGCACATCTTTGTGCAAAAACCCACAGGCAATTTAGTACAACAATGAGGGGTTTTTTTGTTTTTGTTTTTTGCACAAGCCACCATGCTCACTAACGCCAAGAATTCAGCGCCATGTCCATTCTGGCTGGCCAGAAGAACAGGGCAGTTCCTCATCCTTGCCTATGAAGATGAGACAAGCAAGAATTTACACATCCATGCTCAGAAGATGCTCTGGCCAGGCTGCTGACAGGGACCAGTTATAGGGACTATGTATATCACTCCCTTGCTACAGCAGCTTCATTGACTGCCAGTCTGTTTCTGGGCCCAATTCAAAGTACTGATTATGATCTCTGAGGCCCTATGTAATTTGGGACCAGGCTACCTGAAGGTTCGTATCTCCCCATAGGATCCCTCTCAGCTTCTAAGATCTTCAGGGGAAGCCCTTCTTGTAGTCCCACCTTCGCAGGCATATCTGGGTGGGAACGCCAAAGAGGGCCTTCTCTGTGCTGCTCCTAGGTTGTGGAATGCCCTTCCCCGGGAGGCTAGGTGGGCCCTCCTGCTTGCCCTCCCAGTGACACTTGAAGATCATCTTTTTTTAAAGAAAGGTTTTTAACAATGGACTGGGCAGATTTCAATCTTGCGTGCCATATACGATTGTCACTTTATAAGTGCTTTTAATAGGTTTCATTGTGTTTTTAATAGTTTTAACAAATTGTTTTAATACTGCTGTATATTTGTTTTTTAGAACCCTACTTTATTGTGGTTTTAGTAGGTTTGTTATTTGACAACTTGTGAAGCCACCTTAATTGGGAGAAAGCTGGCACAGAAATCAAAATGAATGAATGAATAAAATGTTCACGCAGCACTGGTGAATGGATGTGTTGCTAGAAGCAGCTACTTGTCCTTTGGGGAATCCTCAGTTTGCTTCTCAGTTGGGATTGAAGCAATGCCAGGGGATGGCATGCAACATGTGGGGCACATATGCACTTACCAATACGAGGCTAATTGTGAACATATCCTGGGCTTCCCCACCATCACCCTTTACATCTGCTGTTTTCAGATTTTTTTTCCCCCGGCTGGCTAACTAAAATACAGAAAAGGCCCTTTTTTCCTTCCTTTTTTGAAGGGGAGGGTTGAGGAAAGAAACCATGTGATTTGATCAAGGATTCGCAGAAGTATTCAAGCCGAAAGCCGAAAGAAACTAATCTTTCCAAGGCACGTAAACGAGATTACCCTTCTGTGGAGTTGGTGGGGTAGGGGTGGAGGGCGAGGTCTGGCAAAAACAAGCTTCAAACATAGAAACTGACATTGATTTTTTGTAGTCAGAGGGGCGGCTTCTGGTGTTGATGTTAAAAGGCAGCATTTCTTGACAATCTTTTGAAAGGGTGCTCAAAAGTGAGAATCTAAGGAAAATATTGGTATGCATCACATTAAAAGGAAGGATGCTGCTGTCATGGAAACAGACTGCGGGGGATTAGACACACTGGCATAAGGCAGACAGAAATCATAAAGCTTGCCTTCACTCTCTCACACAACACCAAAGTTCAGGCTGTGGTGAGCAATGGTGAGGATTTGTATCCCGTATTTCCCTGCCTCAGATAGGTGGGGAACTGGCATCCTGCGTGCCGGATCCCCTCCCAAATGTTTCCTAGACTTTGCAAATCAGACTATATTCAAACTTTGTAATCTTTCTCATAAGAAAACTTTTTTTCAGGTTATAATGAAGGCAGACCATATTTAAATGTAATATTCCACTTTGATTCAGTACATAATGTGTGTAATATGCAAACACAGCAATAGATGCATAATGCTTCCCATAAATGTTAGTGGTGTCTTCTACTTCAGCAACAGATGATACAAGAGCTTGGCAGTAACAATATTATCTATAATGTATTGTTTTTGGAAGACAGAGGGGAACAACAATGTTATTTTTTCAAGTAACATAATGACTGTTGATTTACCTTTTTCCTGTGTACACAGCAATATTTATTCCTCATATTTTCTCATTTACTTTGAGGCGCTAAAAATGTCTGTTTTTGGCATTTTGAGAAAAGTATTTTTTTTAAATTTATGAAAATAATTTCTCCCTCCTAAATAACAAGCAAAACTATACATAATGTAGTAAACAGCAGTTTTTGTAATGGCAACTGTAATGGATTATTGGGTGTGGATTCCAAATACACTGTGAAATAAATTATGTTTAAAATGTAGCTTTTGAATCTCTGGATGGCCTTTTCTTTATTAAGAAAACTACTACAAAGCCATTCAACAGAAGCTGGCAATGTACACTACTTACTGCCCAGCTATCATCTGGAGGAGAGTGGCTTTTTGTAATAAAGAAATTGAGTCTTCTGGACCAATATTACAGGTTTTTTTCAGTAGATCAGGAATTGCTGTGATCATGAGGACTAGCAACGTGTTTGTAACATACGCAGCCTGTTGTCCTAAGTACTCTGTGATTGGAATCCCGTTGCTTAGTGCAAGAAAATTTATAATATTCAATCAATTTGTAGCTGGCAAAGAAAGAGTCCCTGCTGTAATTCTTGGGTGGGCGTGGACGGACACACATGATAGCTTGGGGTATGAGTGAGCCTCCCCCCCCCCACCAAATGTGGCAGGGACTCTTTCTTTGCCAGCAAGGAAGAACAGAATGTTGCAAATTCTCTTACACTACGGAACAGGATTTCAGGCTGTACTGAAAAGCTAATGAAATTTACAACATGGTATCTTCCCCCCCCCCAATCCCTGTGACAGAAAAGGTTTTGTGTGGCTTTTTGTGTGTGTGCCCCATAAACATTTTTTACCTGCTCCAGGAGAAGACGGCTCAAACCCGCTAGAGGCATCACTGCAGGTGTTCGAAGCCTGTTCAGAGAGTTTCTTCTTTGAGGTACCGTCTGCAGACTTATGAGACTTCTTTTTGTTTTTCACCAGGATTTTGTACATCAGGTCTGCTGGGCTTGGAAGAGGGACACCACGTTCAAGCTGGTGAGGAAGGAGAGATAGGTAGTAAGGATGCCCCTTTCAAATGCATTTCCCCCTACCATCACCCATGTTTGGAGCCATTGCCTCTTCCTCTCCTCTAGCGGTAGCACTACTAAAATGAAGCCCACACCCGCTTTCAAATGAAATACGGAACCACAGTATCTATATATGTCCCAATGGTCTCTTCTGGAGAGACAATTCCCACATATTGTTCTTCTGATGTCTGCTCTAAGTGGAACTGCAGTGAACTTTCCACACTTTCAGAGGTATTTTCTCTATCCCATTGACTGTGTATACATCCTGATATTTTCTGTACATGTCTTTCTTTCTTTAACTGGCACAGTTTTGATGTGCTTAGAGAATTGTGGGCTAACTCAACCAGACCATACGGTTCACAGTGGTATTATTATCACTTACTGGAACTATTATTCTAACTAATGTTTTTAGTAGCACTGAAACATTATTTTGGGTCCTAAAAATAATTTTTAAAAAGCTCATCAAAATAAGAGGGGAAAAAAGAAAATTAAAGCTAGAATCCTACTGGTGTTTAGCTAAAGTATGTGTAATTCGCTGGGACTAACTGCGGCGAATTGATGAGGTGCCAGGGGACATGCTGGTTGTGTGCTTGGTCACACGTCCAAATGTTCAAATGTGCAAATGGCCGTGGCATCTCATCAAGTAACCACAATTAGCTGCAGCAAGTTATGTACACCTTACGTAAACACCTATTGGTGTTACCGGCCGACAGTACAATAACAGCTAAAATACTTTTCTAGCTACATACTAAAAGAAAAAAGAAAAACAGTAAAACAGCTAGAAAACAATACATAAATAAAAGAATCTCCTAGTACACCATAATGACATATATAGTGATTTTTTAAAATGCCATTCTGGAAAGATGGATGATTACAGTAATTAGGAACTGGGTTTAAAATTATTCTTTTAAAATTAGCATTGTTAGTGTAATTGTAGTGTAACAGGAGAAGACCTTTTGGGCACAGCGATTAACAACTTTGCTAAAATAGCAGTCAGTGGAAAAGATTTTTCCCCTTATCATTTAAAAATCTATATACAGCATTAACTGGCGTACTGCCATAGCAATATAATTAAAGTAATAGTTTGCTATCTGTTCAGCTACAAAGGTGTTTTACTGCTACTGAAATGATTAATTAAAAATAAAATAAAAGGATAATAAAAAAAGATAATGTCCACAACAAATACCACACACTGAATGTGCTCACCATTCACCAAATAGTTAACCAAGGAAATTGGGGATTTGGCACCAACCCAACCCTCTGTGAGTATACTCTGCCCCTCAGTGTGTACTGAGGATAAGTTGATGTTAGCTACCCCCAAATGCTCTTGGATGTTGCCCATTACTGGGTGAAAATTATCTGATAGAGTATATGTATTAATTGTATTGTGGTGCTTCTGACATGAACAAAGAAAAAAAAACAAATAAATCCCTTACCTAGGTTAAAAACCGCACCTTTTTTGAAGTATGTAGTATTTCGCTTCCATTTTAATTTTTCCCTCCATTTTGGCCATATTTTTGATGGGCCAAATGGCCTCCAGAGAATCAGTGGGAGGGGGGGCTGTAGAAAATTTGCCCTAGAACAGCTGAAATTGCCATACTCTACTATAGTGGTACTGTATGAGCTTGCTGGCAGTCTGAGTTTGTCAGCATTGTCATTCAGTGCCTGCCTAGATTTGAATAAGAGCTCTAAAAATTATTTTTAAAAGCAATTAGTTACCCATAGAATTCAAGCAATTACCATTATAGTTAATATTTTTTTTTTAAAAAAGTATCTACTTCATCTTAAAAAGCAACTAAGTAATTGTTATTCTTTACTCAAACTAACACTGCAGCATTTTGTACCTAAAGTGCATGGCACGCCTAAGGAGTGAGGCCTTGGTCCCATGATTATAAAAGTAACTAAGCCAGTTAGCTTTATACCACAAAAGGGAGGTATCTTTCTTTACCTCATATCCATTAATGGCAGAATCCTACCGAGGAAAGCCACACACATAAAGGCAATTCGACAAGTGTTCCCCCACCCTTTTTGCTTGCTGTTTGTCACATGACTGGAGCTCAGCTAGGCTCATAATAATTTGTTGAACTAGAGAAGATGAGGGCACACACAACAGACGGGCCGCAAAAACAGGTAAAATTGCTTGCGAGGGGTCCAAGTCCCCTGATAACTCCCAATGTTTATTTTGATTTTAAATCTGGCCACTAGAGGGCACAGGAGGGTGTTTCAATTTTTAAAAGCTCCCACAGTGTGTGTGTGTGTGTGTTGCAAAAAAGCAAGAGGGGAGCAAGGCTTCGGGGTGCAGCCTTCCCACATCGAGGTGGATAGCTGAGTGTAGCTCCTGAACCACTGAAAGATGCCCAATCCTGCCTTAAATATTAACAAGGCTAGGCTGGTTTGTATTCTCGAAGGCTTTCACAGCCAGGATCTGATGGTTGTTGTGGGTTTTTAGGGCTCTTTGGCCGTGTTCTGAAGGTTGTTCTTCCTGATGTTTCTCCAGTCTCTGTGGCCATGGGCATCTTCAGAGGACTGGAGGTTTGTTTGATATAAGCATACCTGCACTGTAGCAGCTGAGGAAGTGAGCCACCGTTCAGAAAAGTTTATGCCAATTTAGAGATGGGCATGAACCACGCGTTTGGTAGTTTGTGCTGGTTCGTTCAGTGGCCGAAGAGGTGTTGGGTGCTTCCCAGCCCCACCTCCTACGGTAGGTGCCCACTCAAAGGTAGGATCCCAGTGGGTGGGTGCCCGCCCAAGTAGGTGCTACTGGGAAGTGCCAGACACCCATTCAGCCAATAAAGGAACCGGCAGCTCATTTCCATCTCCACGCCAAATGAAACCTGTTTGTCTTAAAGGTGCCACGAGATCCTTTTTGTTATTTCAGCTACAACAGTATAATGGACGTGGCTCTTCTGGAAAGGTTTGTAACTTGTTACTTCCAAGCTCTGATTTGAATCAGCTCATGCACAGCTTTGGCCAGATGCCAGCTTCCTGCTCAATTCCAAATTAGTTATTTTCCTTCTGCGGAAAGAACACAACAGGCACCAAAGCCAAAGAACTCTAAGGAAGGTTCTATTTACAAGCCTCTGCTCTTCAGAATCATTTATTATACCAAATGCTTTTGTTTGAAGCCTGCTTCCTAACTTCACCGCAACTGCCATAAACAATGTATTGTCAAACACACTGTTGACACACTCACTATAATCCACAAAATGTAGCATCTGTTGAAGGCTGTATAAATGGGGCAAGGGGGCTCAAAATAATCAACAAAGCCATTTAAAAAACTTTATCTAGGCCAAATAAATAAACAAATCAACTCACGGGATATTTTTCCAGGGGCTCCATCAGCAAAGCATCACCAAATATTAACCTGCAATACTCTGCCATTTTTGCCTGCTGTTTAGGGCTGAAAACAGACAAGAGCATAGAATTAAATAAGGATGAGGGTTTTTTTGTAACATTGTAAGTGCCAGCAATAGAAAGTGTAATAGTCTTTAACTGCATGGAGAGGTATAATTTTCTGATCCTATCAACTTAAATTGTTCTCCATAATCCAGAGTCATTATGTTATTATTTTGACTTCTATTACAGCTCTTATCACACTTTTCCTCTACATTTATATAGCACAGTAAAGGCTCTCAGTTTTGAAACAGGAGACAGCAAAAAGTGAATAAGGTCAAAATATTTACAAGTCCGCCCTCTTCCCCAAATAAAATAATGCCATTTTTTCCTAAAGGCTACCTAGATTGTTTACAACAGATGTTGGAACATGGTCAGAACATACTTTTTTAAAAAAAAATAGTTTGAGTGATGGAAAAATGACATCAAAATATCTATAATTAAAATGCATAAGCATTTCAGTGACATAAATCTGCAGGGCAATATTGTGTGAGCTGGCAGCAGTTCTTGGATGCTGAGAGCAAATAATAGAACAGCACTTGTTTGTGTATTGGCAGACTGATTGGATTTATATGCTATACCTTTAGTGGAAACACAAGTCTATGATGTCATGTAACAATACAATCAATATGACAATTTCCTGATCTAGAGCTAAAATTAATACAAAAAGGAAAGCGAATATGAATATGAGAAAAGGAATTTAAAAACAATCATAACAGAAGGTAAGTTATAGAAGGCAGCTGTGTATAATTCTGTCTTCGCTAAATTTCCTGACTATCAGGTGGGGAAAAGCCTGACGTGCCTTATTTGGAAGTTTATCCCAAAGACTGGGGGCCACCACCGAGAAGGTCTGATTCCTTGTTGTTGCCTTTTTGGCCTCCCTTGGTGTGGCCACTTTTAGCAACGTGGATTGAAAGGGGTGGGTGAAACAAGTAGCTGATTTCTGAGAGAGATGTCCAGACAAGTACTGAAGGTCTGAACCAGAAATCAGTCTGGCTGCTACATTTTGGACCTCTGAAGTTTCCATTTTCAGGGGCAGCCTGAGGTAGAGAACATTACAGTAATCTGTTTTTGAGATTACCTTTGTGTGAACCACTGCTACTAGGCATTTCTTATCCAGGTAGGGGTGCAAGTGAGCAATCAACGAGAGTTGATAAAGTGTACTCCTGGCCATGGCCGATATCTATAGAGTGTTCTGGGCCCAGGAGTAGCCCCAAGATGCAGACCCGATCCTTCACGGGGAGTATAACCCTAACAAGGCCAGGTAACATCCTCTTTAGAGATGGAGACCCGATCCTTCACGGGGAGTATAACCCAACAAGGCCAGGTAACTTCCTCTTTAGAGATGGGATGGAGTGTTCTGGGCCAGACTGTCCACTCACCATTCCGCTGCTGACATGAGCTCAATGGAGCCTTCCTACTGCACCATTGTCCACAATGGATCAGCCACTCCTGGCAGGAGGTGGGATGACAAGCCTCTCTGCCAGGTTGCAGAGTGGCTAATCCATTGTAGACAACAGCGCGATAGGAAGGCTCCTTCGAGCTCACATCAGTGGTGGAATGGTAAGTGGGGATGGATCCTTATTATTTCCACCTGTGGGGAAATTATATGAATACCCCCATCTCTAATTCCTGTTTTATCTGGATTCAGTTTCAGTTTATTGGCTCTGGTTCAGCCCATTATTGACATGACACAGAACTCAAGGACCTATGCAGCATCACCTGCAGATAATGCGGAGATCAAGCTGCTGTCATCAGTGTACTGGTGAGAGTGAGCCCCCAATCTCTGTATGACTTCTACTAGCTTCATGTGGATGTAAAAGAGCACTGGGGAGATGGTCGCCCCTGAGATTAAACAATACCATAAACATCTGTACCATCAGAAAAGCTCCTGGACAAAGTGGCTTTGAGGATGGTTTCTGAAGTCCTGGAGACCACCACTGAACTGTTTTGTGGGCAAGGGTAGGCACCCACTTCTTTCAGGAAAGACTGCATGAAAGAATAGTTCTTTGTGAACACTTTGTGTTCCAGCAACAGTGACTGCTGAGAAGGAAGAATTGTAAAGGAACTCATCTGCATGTATCTTTTCACTTCCCAGGAGAGTCACTGGGTGAGGTTAAGATTCTGTTTTGTCTCTAGAACTAGAACCTTTTATTAAAGGTTACAACAACAACAACAACAACAACAACAACAACAACAACAACAACAACAAAAGGCTGATCGCCACAGTTGCTGGGTCTAGTTATTTTATGTGATTGATTTCCCAGAAAGCTTTGTTCCCTAGATTACGATGAAACATTTCCCCCAAAAGAGTGGTGACTGCCCCAAGGGGTGAATATTTAACGGCAAAAGAATTGCTCCCTATGTGTATGTGCTTCAACTCAGGCATTTTGAAAACCATTTTCTAAATATGCTTTTCATAACATGTCCATGCATTCCAGAGCTGTTTATGAGCTTCTTCTGAACCCACGTTTTCTCAGAATGAAGAGAACATGTGTCCAAACCATTTCCATCAAAGCTGCAAAGTACAAGTATTGGACAGTTTCAAAATACCCTGACTTTTGCAGTATTTATGAAAATCCATAATTTATGGAAAGATGATGTATTATTTACAGAAAATATTTTAATTACTTACGAATCCACATGGTTTTCAAATGAGAGTAGAATGGGGAAAGGAGAGGTCTTAAACGCACATTCAGCAATTGCTTCTATTACTTCCTAGAAAGACAAACAATCAGAAATTACTGGTAACAAAGAATTTATTTGTTAGTTGCAAACACACACCTCTTCCAAATAAGAATGAATTCCACACACAGTCAGAAGCAGCTAGATATCTTCTTGGAAACAGGTTCATCCCCCTTTTGTTTTTTTCTTCTGTTCTAACTTTTTAAGAGACCAAAGGATCTTCAAAAACAGTTGTACTCATTTTGATTTGCTTTCTGATCTTGAAACATGCTAAGATGTTGTCTCGCTCAGCTGTTGGTCTCTGTCTGTGCAAGAACAAACAACTACTTGCGCACAGAAATATGGCCTCCATAGGGCACGTCTGTATGCCCAAAGCAATGTCTTTTATGTCTTTTATACTCATGCACTAGTAACAACCAGACTGGACCACTGCAATGCACTATACGTGGGGTAGCCTTTGAAGACGGTCCCCGTCTGTATGCCCAAAGCAATGTCTTTTATATTTGCATAATTGAAACAGTCATGAATTGCCTGTCAAGCTTTCTCAGCACCTCTCAAGAGGGCTTTCTTTCAATATAATTTTTCCAGACTCAAGATATTTGAGGCTTGTGTTTGATGATGCTAAACCTTTGCAGGGACAAAAAGTGTCATCTCCTCAGTATAGAATCAAACAAGAGGCAATGGTTAGAACCCAACAGAGAAATGGTCACTCAGCCCAAATGCTTCAGAATGATAGGAGTTTGCTCTTAGGTCGCTGAACAGCTTTCCACAGTGGTCTGCATTCTGGCTAGGAGTTTTTAAATAAAAAATAACTTCTCAAAGCTCTGTATTTTGCCTCATGTGCTATCCGAGACCGAGACTGACAAACGTTTATGAATACAGTGGACCCTTGACTTACAGACAGCTTGACTTACAGACTTTTTGAGTTACAGACTTCTCTGGCCGCAAAATTTAGGTTTGACTTGCAGGCTGAGAATTGACTTACTGACCAGAAAAAAACCAAAATGGAACAAAAACGGCTTGTTATGGGATTAATCGGTTTTCAATCCACTGTAGGTCAATGGAGACCATTCTTTTTTCTTTCTTTCTTTCTTTCTTTCTTTCTTTCTTTCTTTCTTTCTTTCTTTCTTTCTTTCTTTCTTTCTTTCTTTCTTTCTTTCTTTCTTTCTTTCTTTCTTTCTTCCCAAGGAGTTACTTAACCTCTATTGTGTGGAGGACAGCTGCTCTATCCTTCATGATGAAACATTACACCTACAGACTTTTTGACTTGAGAACCGCCTTCCAATACGGATTAAGTTCTCAAGTCAAGACCCCACTGTACCTCTCAATGCCTGTGATGGGGCTTTCTCAATTGGTAATGGACTTTTCAAGTGGGGAAATGGTCTGGGCCTCTCTTTCTGGACAATGACTGTGTCAATCTGAATATGGAGAGGAGGGGAGAAAGGGGAGGACAAAAGTAGCATCTCTAGGTACAGTGAGCTGAAGCTGTGGGTGCTGTTGGACATGGTTGCTCTCTGGGGGATCTGACGTAGCTACGCTGTCTGATCACATACATTCACTTGCTTCTACTCTGCTCTGTCTTTGCTATGGTCTGTCTAAAACAGCTGTTTATATTTATATCCTCCCTTTTCTTCAACAAGCTCAAGGTGGCCACATTTTCCCTCTCACAGCAGTCCTGTGACATAGATTTGGCTGAGAGAAAGTGAGAAGCCATGTAGGTGCCTCTATGCTAAAGCAAATATTGCAAAGGTAGTGGGTATCCACCATTCTTTCTTTCTTTCTTCCCAAGAAGTTACTTAACCTCTATTGTTAACCTCTATCTGGATGAGGGTCAATAAACTGAGGCTCAATCCAGACAAGTCTGAAGTGCTGCTGGTAGGTGCTCCATCAGATAGGTTAAAGGGCCATTTCCCTGCATTAGACGGGATTACACTCCCCTAAAGGACAGGGTCCGCAGCTTGGGGGTGCTCCTTAACCCCGGTCTGACCTTGGAAGCCTAGGTGGACTCGGTGTCCAGGGGTGCCTTCTTACAGCTGCAGAGAATATATCAACTTCGCCCTTACCTGGATGAGCGGAGCCTGGCAGCAGTTACTCATGCACTAGTAACAACCAGACTGGACCACTGCAATGCACTATACGTGGGGTAGCCTTTGAAGACGGTCCCACGACTGCAACTGGCACAGAACCGGGCTGCGCGGCTGGTAAGTGGTGCCGCTGCACGGACTCATATCACGCCGGTTCTGAAAAATTTACATTGGCTGCTGGTTGCTGCTCGGGCCCAATTCAAAGTGCTTACTTTGACATATAAAGCCCTAAATGGCTTAGGACCTGGTTGCCTAAAGGACTGCCTTCTTCCATATGAGCCTGCCCATCCTCTAAGATCAGGCCAGGAGGCCCTTTTGAAGGTGCCATCCCTGAAAGAGGTGAGGGGGATGGCATGTCGAAATAGGGCCTTCTCGGCTGTTGCCCCCCAACTTTGGAATGCCCTCCCTCTAGAGAGCCGCCTGGCTCCGACACTCTTGGCTTTTCGGCGCCAGGCAAAGACCTTTCTGTTCAGCCAGCATTTTAATTAAACAGCATTCCCTAGCTGGCCACATGAGCAGCAGGACTTATTAATTTTTAATGTTTTAAAAAATTGTTTTAATATATGGCATTTTATATTATCTTTTTAAATGTTTTTAATGTTTTTAAGTTTTAATGTTGTACGCCGACCAGAAGCCACTGGTACTGGTGCGGCTAAAAAAATATTGTAAATAAATAAATATTGTGTGGAGGACAGCTGCTCTATCCTCCATGATGAAACATTATGGTAGATCCACTGCAGCCCTCCTCAGAAGGATACTGCTCCAGACAATGCCTTCCAGTTCCATCTCTCTCTCTGAGTGTATGGACTGTACACAAACATATCAGTTTGACTCCATATCGACCATTATGGTTCCATCCTACAAGATCCTGGGACTTGCAGTTTGGGGAAGTATTTGGAACTCTGTGTGAGAGGTCTCTGCTGCTGTCATTTGGGCAGCTATACCAAACGGAGCCATCACAATAATATTCCATGTATGGAGAAAAAAAAGAGAAGCATATAGGAAGACCCAAGGACAAACCCACAGATGATATTTGAGATAGGTAACTATCGAAGAAGGGCCTAATGGTGGGAGGGAGGCTTGTCTTATGTTCGAGGCTTCCTGCAAATATATTGCCAAGTTACATTAGCAACTGGTTTTTGACAGGAACATTTCTACAACTGATTATATAAAATGCATTCATAAAATAAAACATAGATCTCTCAGCTTACATTTCAGAAGGAAAATAAGAGGCTGGAAATACATGCATGTCTTTTCGTATCTCAACCTCCCATATTTCCTCTAAGATCAGGCCAGGAGGCCCTTCTGAAGGTGCCATCCCTGAAAGAGGTGAGGGGGATGGCATGTCGAAATAGGGCCTTCTCAGCTGTTGCCCCCCAACTTTGGAATGCCCTCCCTCTAGAGAACCGCCTGGCTCCGACACTCTTGGCTTTTCGGCGCCAGGCAAAGACCTTTCTGTTCAGCCAGCATTTTAATTAAACAGCATTCCCTAGCTGGCCACATGAGCAGCAGGACTTATTAATTTTTAATGTTTTAAAAAATTGTTTTAATATATGGCATTTTATATTATCTTTTTAAATGTTTTTAATGTTTTTAAGTTTTAATGTTGTACGCCGACCAGAAGCCACTGGTACTGGTGCGGCTAAAAAAATATTGTAAATAAATAAATATTGTGTGGAGGACAGCTGCTCTATCCTCCATGATGAAACATTATGGTAGATCCACTGCAGCCCTCCTCAGAAGGATACTGCTCCAGACAATGCCTTCCAGTTCCATCTCTCTCTCTGAGTGTATGGACTGTACACAAACATATCAGTTTGACTCCATATCGACCATTATGGTTCCATCCTACAAGATCCTGGGACTTGCAGTTTGGGGAAGTATTTGGAACTCTGTGTGAGAGGTCTCTGCTGCTGTCATTTGGGCAGCTATACCAAATGGATCTATCACAATAATATTCCATGTATGGAGAAAAAAAAGAGAAGCATATAGGAAGACCCAAGGACAAACCCACAGATGATATTTGAGATAGGTAACTATCGAAGAAGGGCCTAATGGTGGGAGGGAGGCTTGTCTTATGTTCGAGGCTTCCTGCAAATATATTGCCAAGTTACATTAGCAACTGGTTTTTGACAGGAACATTTCTACAACTGATTATATAAAATGCATTCATAAAATAAAACATAGATCTCTCAGCTTACATTTCAGAAGGAAAATAAGAGGCTGGAAATACATGCATGTCTTTTCGTATCTCAACCTCCCATATTACTCAGTTATGAAATGAAAAAGAACTTGAGTCAAGTTGTATCATAGTGAAACAGGGCTGGTTTTGTGTCTCTGCACATGTCAAATCTGTTCTACAGCTGAAATGACAGCCAAAGCAAATGGCTGTGATATGGGCACCCAGGGTCCAAGCATTTGCTGATTAATGATCAGCCACTAATAATTCAAAACTGATTTACCCATCTTGTGACATGTACCATTTTGCTGTATCCATGTACTTTGCAAGCTGAAAAGCAAACTGGAAGCAACATTTTTAAAGATACATTTAAAAATAGCCCCTTAGTCAAAATACCGGGAAATTATCCATAGTTCCAAACAAAACAAGGTAAGGGGGGGGGTTAAAATAAAAGAGGCAAAGCCTCAAACTTGTTTTGACGTCACCTTTCACTATTACTATAAACCAACATCTTTATAGAACTACTACATCATTAAACTAAAATGCTAAACTAAATAAATAGAATCTGGAAGTTGAGTCATGGCAACTGGACTTCTTTCTTGTTAGGTTGAAACATTTTGCTGCTCATCCAAGTAGCTTCTTCAGTCATAGATATAGATAAATAGAAGTATTTCAGGGAAGATATGCATGCCACAGTGACAAAAACCTAAATAACAGAGTTTTGTTGATTTATTAAAATTTGCATCTCATAAACCTTCAGTACACAGGGC